AGTTTTGTTAATAATTGGAGACAGGGAAAAAATGACTCTTTTAAGCCAGCTATCTACAAGATAAATGCCACACTGAAAGAACACACCCTACTTTAAAGTGCCACTAAATTCTTAGAACGAAAACAAATTCAAATTATTTCCTCATTCTAAAGAAATGTGTTTAGTGGCAGTAAATCTTAAGAATGAAATAATATCGATTTTGGAATGATCTACCATTCACATTAGAAGATTTAAAGATTGTACTAATACAAATTTTAATATGCGGTAATCTATTATCATGATAACTTGATACAATTGTTATGGAAGACTGAACTATCTGTGTTTTCGAATCTAAAGATTCCAATTTCGGAACCAACCTCAAGAATAGCAATGACAGAGTGTCCACTTGTAGGTCTATAAGGCATTCGAACCACGAGCGAGCCAATGTCTATAGTAGATAACTTACTTCCAGTTAAAGCATCAAATTCTGCAACAAAAAAGATCCAAATTTTGTTCTTCCTTTCAAGCAGATTCAACTTCTAATAAAAAAAAATTTCAAAATATATCCAAAATTTACAAAAATTAACAAGTGTTGTAGTTGCGATTACCGATGATGTAAGTGCCGATGGCAGCGGCAACGAGAGCCTGACTAGGATGAAAAGCGGAGGCATGTGGCTGCAACGGTTTGAGAATACCTCGATCGACATGCCTTAAGTTCAAGTGTTGCAATGTGGTCCACTCCATCGATTCTTCTTTTCAACTCTCTCTGTATCTCTCTCATTTTATTAGCCCATAAAAAATGTTTATCAACACCAAGCAATGTTCATAGTACCTTTTTCTTTACGTGCTTAGAGACTTCATCCGGAAATTTTTTGAACGACGAATGTGGATAAACGAAGACCCAAAAACAAAAACAACAAAACTACGAAGATCTGATGATTGAAATTGAAGTGAAGAGCAGAGAGTTGGAATCAATGGAGATACGAAGATTTGGGCCTTACTTCATTCCCCATTATTGGATTTATGTCGGTTTAATTATAGAAAATGCACTGCCCTAGATTTGGGCTGTAACATTTTAGCCCATTTTGGGATTATTTCGGCCCATGTCTGGGCTGATTTTGGGCTTTGGTTTGTATTGTGAAAGCTTTGTTTGGTTTATAATAAATTCCTAAAAAAAAAAGAAAAATTATTTTTAATGTATCACTATTAAGTACAACTGAAGAGTTATATACTCTTAAAGACCGCCTAAATTAAAAATATCATTAAAAAATAAATTGTATTACATATATCAAACTGGTATTTCAGTTAATAAAAAATGGCTATTTACCCTTTTTTAAAAAATTAATTTCAATTAAAGTTTTTCAACTTAATTTATATTACAATATTAATCTAAGCACTATTGTCCTTTTTTTTTTTAAGTGGAGAAAAATTTTTAGATTTTATTCAGTATATTTTTTTTGATTGATTTAAACAAATTTATCTCTACTAAATTTAACAAATTTATAAAAAATTATTTTATCACAATATTCTAAGGTATTCGAACTCAATTACCAATGGAACATATCCTTTTTGTCACTTAGCAAAGCATCCCTTGATAAAGCCCTATCATCATTTGTTAACATGGAATTCGAGAATATAAACAAATCCCTCACCCGGATGGAAAGAATGTTAAGATCCGTGCCAGTTCAAAGAAAGTACTTTTGTTTTGAGAATCAAAACTTTTGTGCACATTCATCATAACACGAAAAGGAATGATAATAACAAACATTATTTAAAAAAAAAAAAAAAAAGTGTGGGGATTATAAATGGACAGTTCAAAGAGAAAATGAAGAAAAAAAAAAGGATGAGAAAAAATTTCCCGCAAACTCTCACCTTCATGAATTGGTCAATGGTTCCATTCTTTCTTTTTTCTTTGTTGGTTTTCCCCGGTAAAAGAAAAGGGCTTTGTTTGAGACATTTTCATGTAAATTTATTGTAGAAGAAACTCATTTGATTCAGTTAGTTGTCATCTTTGAAAGATTGGTGTGGAAATTATGGTCCAATCCATCTCATCTATCTCTAAAGATGAAGAAAGAAGAATTTGTTATGTATTTCAATCATTTGGTTAATGTTGAGGCAACATCTGACATAGATTGTTAATCATGAGCACCACCATCACAGCCACGGCCACGGCCAAGGCCACCAAATATCATCATTAGGAAATTGACTCCAGGCTCTCCCCCATGGATGAAGCCTTATCCAAAGCCACAAATCTGGGGCTCATTTAAGAAGATTGATCGAACCCGCCTGAAGGGTTCCCTTCTATCCAAATTCAGCTGCAGATTAGTTCCAATGGGTAGGGGCCATACACAAGTTGAAAATAATAAGCACTTAATAGCGATTGAATGCTGCATTTAAACCTGTGTTTGTCTTCATTAGAGCTCAATCCAAGTTCTCCATCAATTAGGATTTCTTGGACGATGCTGAGGAATAAGACACCTTTAATAAAGCAGAATAGTGATGGAATGTGATGAAACTGACCAAACACCTGCAAGTTGCCTATTCGATCATGAAAATGACCACTGTCATCTTTCGGTGGTTTAAACTTTCAACCAACTGTTGGATTTTCATAGTTTTTCCGAACCAGTTGATTAAGGATGCTTATCAGTATAGCATGTTTGAATGGTTATTCTTAGGACAAAAATCTCTTCGATCTGTTGAGTTTAAATATTGACATGCTTTGATAATATCCATCGGATCAATAATCGATCACTAAATGTGTCCAATGTCATAGGTCACACATTCAAGTATAATCAACAACGACTAGCAACCAGCCTTGATGAAAACAAAGGAATAGATGGCATCGGAAGATATAGTACAAATGGGAAACATGAGCCACATAATTGGACTGCTTCACTGTCAGGAATGGATTCAAAGGTTTAATTTGAAGAGAAAGATCTAGATACTTAAAAATCATGGGCAACTGATGACTACGGTTCTTACAGGGCTCAAAAAGTTTAAGATAGGACTTCCATGTGCTGGTCCCATAGTAATGATTGAATGTAAGAGGGGGTATATATTTTCCCCTTTTCACTTCTGCAAGAATCATATATTGTCTTGCTGGCGTCCTTATCCAGCATATGAGCTCAAGATCGCTACCAAGATCAAGAAGAATAAAAGGAAAATTGATATTTGATACTATATATATAGGTTATAGGATGGATTCCTGGTGACATTAGAGCAATCCTAGTCTCAAAAATGGGTTGGTGGGGCTATCGGAAGAATGAAAGATGACTAAAGCTGGTGCTTGGAGAGTTCGAGAGAAAAAAAAAAATCTATGTAGTTATCGGGTGAAAAGTTCATTGTTGAACACTTTTCAGCTTTCAGCCACTGCCTACAATCATAAGAGGGATAAAGATTCAAGAATAATATAGCTATTTGATTCGTTGATCATATTCAATTCTCATCATATATGGTGGGGGAATCCTTCAAACTAAAAGACATGGCTGAACCTAAATGGTTAGCATATTTCACTGAAGTTTGCTAAATAAAAAATTGCATCCCCAGTCATATTTTCTTGTTCTTTCTAAATTCAAAACTTAGCAACATGACCCTAACGGGCTTTTGAAAAGCCAACAGTCTTTCTATGGGAAAAAAATTCTCATTATTCTTATCTTTATTTTTGCATGATAGGCAAGGCCTAAATTTAGTAGTTAAGGACAGGTCTTTTGGAAAAGCAAGTTATAACTCACAAGTGGCTCTCCTTTGTCTTTAGTTAGAAAGCTTTAAAGATAAGGTGGAAAACAAAAGTACAACTTTGAAACCCCGGGGCTCTTTTAAATTCAATAATAATATCTGTCAAAAATCTTCTTCAAACGTTACAGATATTATCCAACTTGCCTTGCCTTGTCGTTCCTAGTCTCTTGCATGATTGGAAACGCACATAACTCAAGCAAATTCACGTTTTTTGTTTTACTTTTTGTCTGGTAATGTGGCATCAAAGCACCTCCTAAAGCTAGGTGGCTTTAGCAATGATGGGATATTAAAGGCGATTTCCAATCGGGGTCATCACATTCTAGAATCTCGATCTGTTGAATTTACACAAAAGATAGTGAAATTACACAGAATTAATTTTTTTTTTAATCTTTGATTATCTAAATTAAGGAAAGGAACTTCGGTTGCTTTTATTTACCGGATGTGCCGTCTTTTAAATTGTGAAGTTAACCCCCGGAAGTTGACCGGAAAATATGATTGCGCCTGTGCACTTGGCAGTTGGCACAGTGAAGAGAAAAGATCAACTCGGCATTAGGTGCTGAACTTTCCATGTGCCAAAGTCCTGGAGAAGCCCAGTAGGACCATCTATGCATTTTTGTTTTCAACCAAATATTCTCAAAGGATGAAGCAAATCAAAACTAATTGATGTCATATTCCTTCACAAGACCAATTGGCAAGAATTTACTATGTCCAGGAATCAGGAGGGCTTGTGCACATGCGATGTCCCCATACCAATCATCTAAATAATTTGCCAAGGCAATGTAAATCATATGGATATGCATCGTATCTCTCCGTATCAGGACCAAGAAGCAAAACGGTCCTACACAGTACAAAAAAAAATCTGTTCTTTTGCTGTACTGTTTTATAAAAACGGTGTAAAGTGCAAATAAATGTAGTTTCCTAGTGCGAAGGCCAGGAGACCATCAACAAACTTACCCTCTGGGGAAACTCTTGGGGACAAATTCCTAAGTGAAGGAAACCCTTAGTCTGTTTAAAATTTTCTACGTTGACCATTCCTTTGAATTTGTTAGAGCTTGGAGGACTCTAAAAATTTGTATGTACTTAATGAAAAATGGCAAAGGCTCTAAACAGTTCAATGTTGAACAAGAATTTTAACCCTGAACAGCACAGTTGAGATGGGATTATATATGGTTGGCAATTGCTACTTTGCCCTGTTAGTCAACACTCTTCAGGCATGTGGACCAATGACCGTTGATGTTAATCTAACAAAGGGTACTTCCTATAAAAGCTTGAAAAATGACATTTTACCAACCAAGCAAACTTTTCAGACAGAGTCATCATGATTCAGGATTAACCACTCGAGTTCAGAGATTCATCATTCCATATATGATGATTGAGTGAGAGAGATGAAACGAAATGGTGGGGTTATATAAAAGGGTGGCAAGACTCTAATGCAAGAGAGGTTTAAGGCAAAGTGCCTCTCATTAAGGAGGCAACTACTTAGACAACTGAAGGAGCAGCTTGTAAACCATAGTCCCACCTGCTATCTCATTTTCCTTTGAACTAAGGTCTCTCGTTTCTTTTGGACAAGTAAAATTGAAATATTTAAGGATCAAACACTTTAAAACTATTTCTGTTGCTGCTTCTGCTGTTCTTATCTGGTTTTTATCTCTTTGGCCCTCAAGATTTACTAAAGATGCGCAGCATGGCAAGCTCCACTTCCGCCAAAGGTATAGCAACCATTGTAGGCGTCGGGCCTAAGCTTGGACGATCCATTGCCCGCAAGTTTGCTCATCAAGGATACACCGTTGCCATCCTTGCTCGGGACTTAGGTACGCTCTTCCTTTTGCTTTAAAAAGTTTCTCTTTTCGTTCCCTTTTATCCATTATCACTCTTTCTAGTGCTAATTTCAGTAATACCACTGGATTATATGCTTTCAGGAAGATTGTCAAAATTTGCAGATGAGATAGCCAGGGAAGAGAAAGCCCAAGTCTTTGCAATCAGAATTGACTGCTCGGATTCTAGAAGTGTCAGAGAAGCATTTGAAGGGGTTCTCTCACTAGGATTTGTAGAAGTTCTGGTGTACAATGCATATCAGCCAGTTTCTTGTCACCCCACAAACTTTACTGACATTAAAATCAATTCCTTCGAGAAATCTCTTGCTGTATCCTCCCTTGGTGCTTTCCTTTGCGCTCAACAGGTACCTTTCTAGTTTCCATCCTTGTCCAAACAGAAATATTCTGTTCTTGTGTGAAGCCTCTAGTGTGAAATCAGAAATGAATTTTATCTTTTGCTTTTGTCTTGTTAGATTTCAGCTTTTGTTTCATTGGTTTCTTTATCAAATTTTTTGGAGGAGTTTTACTCTTGTTGTAATATGCTAATCAATGAAAGGTACTTCCCGGGATGGTGGAAAGGGGAAGAGGAACGATTCTCTTCACTGGCTGCTCAGCTTCACTCAATGGCATTGCTGGTTTCTCTGAACTATGTAAACTTTCACCCATACCTGATATCAGAAATTTACCAAAACCCCAACTTCAAAAAAAAAAGAAAAAAAGAAATAATTTAGCAGTACTGTCTTGTAAATGAAACAGGCTGTGGAAAGTTTGCCCTGAGAGCTTTATCCCAATGCCTGGCAAGAGAGTTCCAGCCTCTTGGTGTCCATGTCGCCCATATTATCATTGACGGAGTTATTGGTCCACCTAGGTAAAAAATTCTTGACGAATCCTATCCCATATTCATGTACCAGATAAAAACTCCAAATTATAGTGAAATTGTGTTTCTTATTTTTCATAAGAATGAAAAGTATGTGCAAGAAAGAGGTGATTACTGAAAATGATGACGAATGATTAGCAATAAATGTAAAATGCAGATCCAGGGTGCCATCGGCATCACAGAAAGGGATGGTTGGGGAGCAACAGCAAAGCGGAGTGGGAAGGGACGGGGCCGTGATGATGATGGACCCAGACGCGTTGGCTCAGACCTACTGGCACCTGCATGTTCAAGACCGGACCGCTTGGACCCAGGAGATTGACCTCCGTCCTTCCATCACCAGATTCTGTTAGCTATTCATAATCATTCCTCAACTTGCTCCTCAAATCATTTGCAACTTCTACACTATCATTATCATCTTCAATGGTTTTCATTTCTTCTACACTGTTTGATGCTTTAGAAATGTTGATGGTACCAATGACACTTCAATTGGATTTTCAAAAGTGTCATTGGAACTAGCATTTCAGGATTTGCTATGTAAATTCACTCAAGGGATTTTTTTTTCTTCTTTTTATTTTCCTTCTAAGGAGTTTGAAAAGTAGAAATACATGATGATTTATATTTCGAGTGTGTAGGTAATGTGTTATTAATCTGTCATAGTTCATATATATATATATATATATATAATAGTAATTATTTTGAAAATTATCAAATGCACAATCAACAAGTTTTTTAATTTCAGTCATGAAATTAAAAATGGCTAAAATAACTAAAAAATTTATTCTTTACTATTGCTTAGATAAATTCTTATATTTTATTGTAATTAAATAAATTTTTATCTATTAGCTTATACTCAAATAATTAATTATTATTTTAAAAAGAGTTAGACTGCTGTTAAGTCAATGTCAATTGAATTTGTTTTGATCATACAAAGGTTTAAAGGGGTTGATAACATGGGTAAAATTTAAAATTTTAAAATAAATAAATAAACAAATTTTAAATTATTTAGAAAATTTTCTTTCTTTCTACTCTCTTCCTTCCGATTCTTACCCCTAGTCATTCAATTCATATTCATTTTAATCATTATTTAATTAGCAAAATTTTTCAAGTCGTTTCAATGCGATTTAAGGTTGTTCTAGCATTATCAACCTTGGATTTGGCTTGCTTGATTTAGTTGAATAATGACCAAGATAGATTTTGATTGAGGGATTTAAAACGATCAAAATTGAAAGGAGAAGAGAGAAAGAAAAATTTTAATTTGTTATTTTTTTAAAAAAATTTTGGATTCAATCAACCCATGTCAATTTTCATGTAAACAAAAAAAAATCCAAGCAGCGATAATGGTAACAGAAATCAACCTTTAATTTTTGAAATAAAAATTAAAATTTTATTTGAGTACAATAAAACATAAAATTTGTCTAAAATAAAAAGTTTAAAGCTCATTTAATATTTTACTCATTAAAGAATTTCTCACATACTTCTTTATAATATATTTAAAGAAATATATATATATATGATAATATTTTAATATTATTTATGAAATTTAAAAACTTTGTGATTATATATTAAATAATAATTTTAATCTTTAAATACATAATTCAGTACATAAATAAGGTAACTTGTTTTCAGTTTTATACACTCCATTAATTAATTCATATGCTATAATTTTTTTTAAATAACTAGACATGAAAAGATTGAATATGTAATCTCATATATAAATATATAATACATAAACAAGCAAACAAACCTACCTTACGAAGAAATCGATCTTTCACGTCTGAAAGTGGAAACTCTTTTTAATTTAGACGTAAAAAATTATTTTTTTATTTGAGATTTTTTTTATATATTTAATAGTTATTTTAGATCTCAATTAATTTAAAATTGAACAAAGTTAAACCTTATAAAAAATATAAAATTTTTTAAATTTATTTTTTTATTCACAAAATTAAAAATTAAAATTTTATTTTAAAAAATCAAACTCGGTAAACATAAAAAATTACATTTGTTGGCAATAGTATTATTTTAGTGGAGGCCATGGTCCACGAAATAAGGTTGAGGTGCTTGATTGATGGGAGAGTTGCATGGATAAAATCATGACTTAGTGTTCTGATTGAGGACACACAAAATTTTGCAAAACTTTGAATCTGAAACCTTACTCCAATTCTTCATCTCTTAATTGCTCAAATCTATTAATATTAAAATTTTTTCCATTTTTATAAATTATTAAATCATCTACAATTAGTCAAATTTCTGTCCTTAAGTCTAATAATTTGTTGTCGCTAAATTTAAAGTCTAATGATTTAATTGTTAACTTGATTGATTTGACTTTTTGATTGAATTAATATGACATTGATATTTTCAAAAGTGAAGATATTAAAATATATATATGCTCAATTTATCTTTAAATTCCAATATATTTCCATCTATGAAGACATTTGGAGAGGTGATTTTCTCAAGGAAAGTGCGGTTTAACCCAGATCTGATACGGCTTTTGGTAAAGATGGAGCAAGAGGAAATTTTAAATAGCTGTTAAAGAGGTAATATCTCGTATTTACTAAATATTAAATTTTTGTGATTTTATATTACAAATGCACGAATCTTTTTGTCCATCAATATTTGCCATATAAGACTGGTTTTGCCTCTTCAATTTGTTGAATCATGGTTAGCTAGTTTCTGATGGCTCTAGGCAGTTATGGAAGCACACAAAAAAAGCTGAGAAGATTGGTTTAAAGGCAAGAGCTTTTGATTACAAATTATAGAACACAGAAGATGATGATGATACAACAGCAACCATGGTCTCACGAGGCTAGTCAAAATATGTCAGATTATCAGGTCTCTTGTAATCAGTTGAGAAATATTCTCACCTGCAATTGAACACATTTTTTAACTACAACTTTACAGTGGAAAAACATAAAATGCCTAAGCTTTGTCAATGTTAAAGTTTGCACTTGCACGAGGTTTCAATCATATAAGCTTGTGACAGAGACAAATGAAATAGCCAAAACCAAAGTGATTGGGGGGCGTTGATTGCGGTGGCAAAATTCCCTTTATCATATCATGTTCAGGCTGGCAAAGACCTCACCTGATTCATTTATTAGGCACAACAGCTCAGGAAAGATGCCATTTTCGGAGCTCTTACGGAAGTTTTACAACTTCTATTGAGCTTTTGCAAGGGTTCGGCTCGATACACCGTGCAATAATTTGACAAATCCAAGAAAACTCAGCTTCCCATCAGTGTGTCTAATCCAGTCATGAAGGACAGAGTGAACAGGAACGGATGGACCCAGTCCAAGTTCCTGGAAAGTTATAGTAAAAATGCTAGAGATTAGTCTAGGTTTCTGTTGCTTCACACCTAACAAGCATCCCAAATAAGCAAAACAAAAGAAAGAAAATGAACTTCCCGCCTCAAAATAACATAAAAAATTAAATTTGCATTGTTAAAATTTATAGAAATCTTAAAAGAACAAAAAAGGTTGAGATAAAAAAATCAACATCAATAGTCGTTGAATACATTTTCAGTAAATAAAAGAGAATTAAATGAGGTTTAAAGGCCCAATAAAGTGAAATAAATGCTCCTTAAATCACTCTTTTATTATCAATAACACAACAACTCCACAATTCCGCAACTAACTTTGTAGAGACAACACAACTCTCTTAATTACATTTGATGCTGACGAGCAAGAAATTAAAAATTCTTAATAAGTTTGGTGTCATAAAAAGAGGAAGATGCCAACAAGTCCATGTGAAGAGAAAATAATAGAGACATAAAGCCAAACAGGTAAAAAATTGAAGTCTAATTCTTGTAAAGGACTGAAACATTAATGTCATAAATACGACTTGTTGAGTTTTCAATGCCTGTCAAGTGTCAACCTACCCACTATCATCTTCTATATGATGTGAAAAATGGCAATAATGGGAATTAAATGATCATCCAAATGGGGCATAGATGCAAAAAAGTTTCCGGGTCAAGCAAGAGGAGATCAACATACCGAAGCTAGCTCTTCAATGAAAATAGCTTTGTTTCCATCCTTCTCAAAAAGTTCATAAGCACAACGAGCATGCTGTTCCCACCGATCAAGAGCCTCCAGCTGATGTACACTTAATGCAGCTGCACAGAATTCATCAAAGTCCATCCTTCTGTATTGAAGTGCATTTAGCTACCACAAAAGGAGAAGGTGAACAAAATTAGATATTCCGACCACCACTAGAATTTTATATAGAATGCCACACCAATCAAAAACAGAAGAAGCACCTACTGATGCTAGAAATTCAGGGATGCGAGAATCCTTCATAGCATCTGTTGCATTTTTCACCAGAGCCTGACCAGATCAAGAGCATTAGATGATTATTCGAAAGAAAACTGCAGAAAAATTTTCAAGATTATGGGAAAAACCAACCACTTTAATATTCTCTAAGCTTATAGTGCCATTTTTGTTTGGCTCCAACAGCACAAACTGCTCCTTCAAGTAAAATAGCTCATCCACAGTCAAAGTTTTAGACAGAGCCTGCAAAAATATCAACGAAAAGGGAAATAAACCTATTGAATAATACAGGAGCTAGAAATCCCACGTATACAGAGGAAAAAGTTTGCATTATAAAAATGGGAAGCCTAATAGGATCAACTGGAGGAGACTTCATGCAATACCAACCTCTAACGTAATAAGATAAACAATTTGACATCTAATGGAAGCACTTACTTTTTCTGAAAAAATTTTCATTGAAGTCTAATGGAAACCCTATTTCTAAAGTACCTCTCACTTCACAATGGAAACTCATACAAACTGTTTCATGACTAAGTACTAAAACAAAGTTTATAAGTTACACTTTTTTGACCTTCAATAATTATTTAGCTCCAACGGAGAAGCCACTGGTGGTTCATACATTCAGGCTCAACTTGTGTTTCATAGCATATTGGTTTTATGCTTACAATCGAATTATAAACCACAAATTTTGGCCACCTCAAGCAACTTTCTAAAGTTGGCCCCAGATTCACCTAAGTTGTTCTGACCGAAATCTTCCCAAATCATGCCTAAGAAAGAAAACACATAAAAAGAGAGATGTGCTTTCTACACACTTGCATAATCACACTACGAATCAGATATAGAGAATAATGTTCATATTTATCACCATATACACACCCTCAATGCAGCTTTCCGAAGAGATGAAGAGCGCAGGTAAGCCTTCATGAGTTTGAATATCAGTATATCCAAGGGCACTTTAATGTTGTTATAATTTTTTATCCAGGGATGACCTGTGGCAAACAACTGTGACTAAAATTTCAAGAACATAAGAATGATGAGTTTATGACAGAAGATGAGGCACTCACTCAAGGCTTGGGCTGCAGTCAATCTTTTCCTTGGGTCCTTATTCAGTAAACGTTTCACAAAATCCCTAGCCTCAGAAGATAGAGTCGGCCAAGGCGCTTCATCAAAAATTGGATCAGCTTTTAAAACAGATCGAAAAATCCCAGACTCTGTCCGGGCCCAAAATGGACGACTACCACACAACAGAATATAAGCAATCACACCAATACTCCAGACATCTGCTTCTGTACTGTAAGACCTATGTAGAACTTCTGGTGCTACATAGTACGCGCTACCAACAATGTCATTAAGCCTTTCATCTGCCAATAGAAAAAGACAAAGAAAATATTAACAAATTAATCAAATAACTAAGCAGTATAGCTTAGGCAATAGGAATGTGAGTACAAACCTGGTTTCACAAAATCTGACAAGCCAAAATCTATGGCCTTCAATTGCGAATTTTCATCCTTTGACATAAACAAGAAATTCTGATCCAAAAAATAGCTGAACTTAGAACAATATCGTGTGGGCAAAGTTTTTGTTATATAACTATTAAAACCCTCTGGTGCTAAGAAGATGAAAATGCAATATACTAGCATGGATCACAACCAAGAAGATAAGCCGTAGTTTTTTGGCTAGGCTTAAGTGCTTCTTCTTGAAAGTTACTGCTTAACCAGAATAATTAGCCCGAGGTTATCCTCAACGAAAACCCTTACATGAGACCTTGGAAATCTTATATTGGATCCAAAACCAGCGTAATACGACTCAATAAATAAAATCAGAAAACCTGATTAAAAATGGAAATGTATTTCACCTCAGGTTTAAGATCCCGATGCACAACACCCTGGAGATGGCAAAAGGCAACAACATTAAGTATCTGAATCATCACAGCTTTTGCATCATCCTCGGTGTATTTTCCACCCCTGCATGAATAGAAGCATACACTTCATAAGTAATCAAATCCTGAGTAAGTTCATTCATCCTCAATCTCCTACATTTTGCCTGTCAATATAATTCAGGACCATGAAGCAGTTATTATTACAAGAAATACCTTGAAAGAATTCTTTCCAAGAGCTCCCCTCCTTCACATAATCTGAAAGATGCGTGGTCACTTATTAGAACCCATTGCATACAATCGTCATCAAACCAAAACACACCAAACACAAAATCAGTTCATGTTTCCATACAGAACTTACTCCATTACTATGTAGACATTATCACGGTCCTCATATGCATCGTAGAATTGTACTAAATTGTTATGTCCAGACAGAGCTCTTAATATTTTTACCTCCCTTCTAACATCCTCAATGGCAATTGCTGTGGTCATCTATCAACCAAAAACAAAACCAGAAATCATAACATGTCAATTCAAGGCATAAAATGGCTACCATCCAGAAATAAAATTTTATAATTCACTAATAACAATTATAGAAGTTGCTGCATTCGAAATTTAACTCCATGAATATACATATTATTTTTGAGCTATGATCAATTTATACTCTGTTAAAAATATTCAGTAAATTCAATATTTAAATTATATTTTCCCATTTGAGTAAATATAACAATCGAATCCACGTACTCCTCGATGGATCTCATTCTTCTAGACCTACAATATAAAACACGACACAAATATGATACAAAAATAAGACAAAAATTTTAGCAATAACTATATTTGGCTTTAACGAAATTAAAAAAAAAAAATGTATCTCGTGTTTTTATATTAACACGAATTGTGATACGTAATTTTCGGGTAAAACACAACATAAATACATGAATTTCAATTTTTTATAAGACACAGATATTTAATTATCAGGTCTAATTTCTTCAATGTCAAAGGTTTTCAACCAAATCAATAGACAAAAAATAAAGAAACAAGAGTAAATTTTCAAAAAATAAAATTAAAACATAAAAATTAAAAAGAAACCTTCGCTTTAGGTACAACTTTAACGGCAACTTGCTGTCCTTTAAGCTCTCCTTTCTTAAACTTCGCCGCACAAGTATAACCGAAATGGCCTCTCCCTACCTCCTCTCCGAGCTCATACTTGCTCCCGAAGTGCTTCGAGAACCCGAAGCTCTTATCGAGTCCAGTACAGGCCGCTCCCGTGGCGTCAGCCGGCTCCAACTCGCTTCCTTCCGGTATGGAGGCCTCATTTGGCTTCACGGACCCGTGCCGCCGCGCAAGCACTGCCTTAATATGCTTCGCCGGCGACGGCGGAGGGAACGGCCTCCTGAAAAACCTTTTCGGAGTCGAATTGGCCGAAGATCTAGCCGGAGACTTCTTGGAGAACAAGAAATGAGCTGGACTCGGACTATAAAACGGAAAAAAGGGCGATTTCTTTCCTTCATTGTTGGAATTTGAGCTTCTCTTCTCCTCTTCTTCTTCTTCTTCTTCTTTACCTTGATCTTCCTTAGGATTCCGGTTTTGTTTACCGTTTACTACATCTGGTAAGGGCGAAGCTGGAATAGAGTTAGAGTTACGACGGATATCGTTATTCTGGGGATGGATAGGCGTCGTTCTGGAATCAGATTTAGGAGAAGACAAAGGGTTTGGGAAGGGTTTGGAAGTGCAAAGACCCATTGAAGAGTAAGCCTATCTCTCTCTTTTCCCCCCAAACAGAAAGTAGGATTTTAAATCTCTCATTACACCATTTGAAGTTGGATAAAATCAAAATGAAAATAAAAAAAAAAGAATTATTATTTTCTTCTTTAGATGACTGAAGCTTTTTCTGAAAGTGTTTGTCGGAGAGACATGGGATCTACAGACGATTGTAAAAAGGAAACGACGATGTCTTCACTTTTTCGCTTATATCCAAAAAAATACTAAAAAGAGAGAGTGTTTAATTTTTTTAATTTTGTTGTAAACCTGTAGTAATATATTTTTTCTAATTGAAACAGATGGATCAGCTTTTGTGGGGCCACGGGTGGTGGTCCAATGAATCGTGACAGGGAGAGATTTTCCACGTGGCATGTCCTGGGGCCGTTTAGTTGAGTTCTGTTTTGATCACAGTAATTAGGTGACGAAATTTCGCCGTTTTTGTTTTTTCTTTCGCTTTTTGCTTTTTCCTTTTTTTTTTTTTTGTTGCAATTGGCATTTTCTCCAATTGCGGTGATTTTGTCGCAAAAAAGTAAAAACAACGTCGTTTAACTTCCTTCGACAACGCTTTCTACTAAAGTCTCCAGTCAGAGTAAAGTGTAGCATATTAATTTTAGTTGATTAAAAATATGAGTATAAACTAAGAAATAAAATTCTTTTCAATTTTTGTTCTTATATTTAATGAAAATTTTAAACACTGTTAATGCAAACTATGAAGTATGTTTACTTTTAAAATTTTAAAGATTTATCCTCATATTTTTTCTTTTAAAAAAAAATCTTAATAGAAAAAGGGTGATCCTTATTGATAAAATCATAATTCAATCATTAACTATTAACTATTAGATATGAAATTATTTTTTTCAACATCAATCTCCTTGGTTAAGAGACAAGGATTATGTGTTTCTTGAATGATAATATAATTTTTTATAGATAATGCCATTATTGATACAACGAATTAATATTATTAAATTATGTCCATTATAAAATATTATTTGTTGAATGTTTGCTTTCAAGATTTTAACTTTTTTTAAAAAATGTTTCAATAAGATAAATGTGATATTTGCTTGTAAAATCACAATTCAATATTTGATTATTAAATATAAGATCATTTCTCTAGCAATACTAGCCTCTCTAGGCAAAGATATAAATTATTTGTTTGCTAAGATGCAATACAATTTCCCTCAAAACTTAGGGATGACAGAGGATCGGGTCAAGATGAGTTTTTGTTCGCTTCGAATCCGACCTGATTTATAATCATAAAATTCGTACATGCACTTGACATGAATTTTTTGTTTATTTATTTATCTGAACCTGATCTAAATTCAAAATTGTATTTGATTCGATTTGATCCGAAATTAATAAAATATTACTTTTTAAAATATAAAATATTATTTTTAAAAAATAAATATATAAATATATATAAATAAAAAATTAAAAAAATAATTTTTTACATAATGTTAAGTCGAGTCGAATTTATCTAAAATCTAATCTGACCTAAAATTTGATTTTCCAAAAAAAAAATCGATCATATAAAATCGAGTCAAATCGAAACTCATCGATTTCGAGTTAAAGTGTCAATCCTACTCAAACCCTGTCATTGTTGTAATAAAGGAAATCAAACAAGCCAATAAATGGATTTGAGTAACGTAACATTGGAATTGAATTGCCCTTCACATATCTTTTATAATATTATTAGTATTAAATACATATTTGTGATATTTTTTTCATATTGACAGAGGAAAAATTGTGTTTAAAATTAAAATCTTGATATGAATCATACTCCATAAAAATATAGGGTAGCCCACAACTTATTTGCCTTTGTAGACCTTTGATATTATACATATCCTTGATGCGTGTGATTTATTTGTTTGTATAGCCAAAAAAAAAAAAACATAAAATAGGAGTAGCCCAACAAAAATTAATGTTGGGTTTTAATTAAGCAAGACAGCTGATGCCTGTTTCAATTTGTAGGGGCAAATTATTAGCCCATTTTTTTTCCACTTTTTCCAAGCAATGATTATATCCGTTTCTTAAACAGAATTAATCAGCTGTTGAATTTGTCTAATTCAACACAAAGGCAAGTAATGCTGGTAAAAGAAACAAAAGTATTACAGAACAAAAAGGGTGAGCTATGTGACTATGTCAACTAATGTTCTTGGTCTAAACAAAAAGGAGTTAAGCTATATGTATTATTCAACCATGTGCCTCACTAAATATAGTTGAACTAATAATAAATTAACGGGAAAAAGTTGGAGCTAGGTTAAAGTTGGCTTTGGACGGCAAGCCAATAGGCATTTTCTTTTATTTAATGTTACTTGGAAAGTAATTTTTATGTTTAAAAATTATTTTTATTTAATTTAATATTAAATAATAAAATTATAATTTTTCGACTTAAAATTTTTATTTACAAATTTAAACCAAAAACTAATAAATAAATATTTTTATGCTCAATCGTAATTTTCATAAAATAATTTTTATGAAAATGACAAAATAACTATTTTTTATAAAAAATTTTTAGAGAGAATGCTGAATATTGAGTTTGACCAGTTAAAAATGATGATGGAGGGGCACAATTGAATATTAGTAAAAATATTTTTTTTTTTTTGGGTCAAAAGGTTTCATTGAGTGCATTTAGGTAAAAAATTCTCAAAGATGAAGATGAGGAGAAAGCTTAACGAACGTGAACAATGACTAGAAACGAAAGTAAAGTTATTCCACTCACACTGATAACTACATTTGCAATGTTTTTATATGCTTCAAATCCTACAAATGATGCACATGCTTACCTTTGCCTGGAGAAGTAGATAACTCCACTTTTCTTTTCTTTTAAAAGCAATTGTTTTGGGAACATGGTCAGATACGGATCAAAATGGTATAATAGGTATATATGGATAAACCCAAGGTTAAAAATTTTTTTTTTTAATTTCATAATATTTTTTTATATATATTATAAGTGAACATCCAAAAAAAAATCGAAATCCGCCGCTAAACATAGTTAGGGATTTGTATATTCTTTTTGGCTGGTGCTATCTTGGAAACCACAAATTTATTTATTTTTTAGTGAGTCTAAGCTTTATTTGGAAATTTGATTCAAAGGCTCTCACAGCATAGAAATTATGTTTTTTTTATTGAACAATGTTTTTTTTATTGAACATTCTTTCAATCGGACTTCCAAATGAAGCCTAAAAATGGCAATAGGACTTCCCATGAATGAATTTTTTTAAAAAATATTTTCATTTTCAATCAAAATAGATCAAATGGGGAAGAAAACACATCTTAAAATCTTTTAGGAACATGATCCTTAATAAAGGTTGAATATGGTTAAGAGAGTTCGGTATAAGTGTTTAAAACCATGCAATATTATATATCATCTTCTTGAGAGTCCCCATGCAACTACTGTCCTATGAATTTTGAAAGTAAAAGCTCCTATTAAACACAAAGCTTCCAAAAGGATTTTGCCAAAGTGTAAAACTGCTTTGCAACTTCTAGAAAATATCATATAGCAGATGAGTTTCCCTATCTGGTGTTTGCACTCTTTTTGGTCAGTTATGCATCAGTTTTAGTACTAACTGGTATATGCAACGTAAGACTACTCGTTTTGCTTCCGGGATTGGCATACGTTGCCGACGAGGAGTCGGTGTCTCAAAATTTTCAAACCTTTATGACTAATCAGATGTTATGGTACCCCCTAAACCAGACTTGGCATATGTCATGTTTGGTGGAGATTACTGATATCTCCCCAGGCTTTAATGGTCCAAACATCAGCACCAGATAAGTGAAATATGTTTACAGAGGTATTGATTATACTCCCCCTAAACCTGTTTGAGCAAGCCTGCCTATAAAGTGCTCTTATGACACCTCCATGAATGACCACAACCACTAGCTCTCCTGCCATTGGGAAATATAGCGACAATCAGAAATTTTAAAACAGAAACATCTTACATCCTAGCAGCAGTGTCAGGTAAAAGTCAGACCAGAAGATTAATTGTAGATGGAACTTGGAAGTAACTAAAGTGGTTAAAAATGAAAGTAATCTGTTGTATAACTTGATTACAATCTGGGAGCTCGAGTTTCTTTTCACAAATGACACAGTAAATAATACCTGTCTGTTTCTGACCAATTATTTGCAATGATGATCTAGAATGGTGATAGAGTTGGTCTAAGCTTTCTCCACCTCCCTATCATCATCGTAATCATCGTAACAGTTTTGATATGTAATACCACCATATGATCGAAGAAAAAGACTTATGGCCAGCAAATTGCTGCGACATATCAGCTAACCATTGATTGACTTGTTGCTCCAACACTAAGATTGTGCCTCATAGCAAACTATTATTATTTATAATTAGCTAGATACCAACAAAAGGAGTTTCTTCTCCATGACGCAGTGTCCAACTCTTAATGTCTTATAAGGAGAACCTCAGCCCAAAACAGAAAATGTACCCCAAAATTGGCCTTGCTTAAATTTTTTATTTTTATTGAGCAGTCTGGGATGAAAGCTCATTTTAAGAGAAAAGCTCCAGCGTGACTCAGTAGGAGGCCATCCCAACTTCAGGAAAGCATAACAGGCGACAAGAAAAGCATCTTCCATTTTAATAAAATGTGAGATTTGAACACAGACCTTGAAAACCATGATTGAAAGCTCTGATACATTATAATTTCAAAACTATTCTACAAACTGCATGCATCACCAAAAATGACATTAAAGCCAAAGCAAACTATTATATAAACCAAAACCCTTATTTTTTTAAAGTACTACTGATAAGCTAATGATAAATCTTCCTCAATTTTGCATTAATTTCAGCCAACAAAGCATCAACTGATAATGAATCAGTCCTGCGTGATGAAAAAGCTCTAGTAGCCTCGGTTCTAACTGTGGCTGCTTCATGGAATAGAAGGCCTTGAACATCCCCTAAATGCAGCAATTGTCTCTGCTGTTTCAAGAGCTCGCTTCAAATCAGAAAAATATATAGCGGATATTTCAGGCTCTCCGGATAGTCCATCAGCTAATTTCACAGCCAGAAAGAAGAGCTTTCAAGCATCAGAGACAGAGAAAGAAATTATTAGTAAACAGCGTACTGAGGCTTCTTGTTGTCTCCCAAATTCATTTAGTTCAACATCCATATGTCCCGATCAAACTAAAAATTAAATTAACCCGAGAAAAAAAAAACAACAAATTTTCTAAAGAACTGTTGTAAAATTTTTTCTCAGGTTTCAAATAATTAATCAAATGAAGTTTTCTTTCTTTATATTTCTAACTGATTTACCAAGAACTAGGTTCGGACATAGTAACTCGGTGGTGCGTACAAACGGCCAAGTTTTGTCGTGTACGAACATTATTTTTTGTGTAAGACGTTTTAAGTTGGCAGACATTTCAAGCCGACGGGAATCTCAACTGACTTAACGTGAAACGCCACGAATCGTGCCTTTCCCTTTTATTTTTTATTTTTTTTCTCTTTTAAAGATTACATGCGAATATACAAATTTCATAAAATTTTATGAAATATTGAAAATTAAAGTTCCAGAGATAGACTCCCATAGCACCACAGCTGGGTGATGCATTTTATGACTGAATCCAAATCACTCGACTGTGATGTGATGCATTTTATAATTGAATCTCTAATTACTCAGCTGTGACACCATAAAAGTTCTTTCTATCACGTTATCAAATAAATCCTTAATTTTTAATCTGCGAACTGAAGTTCTGATAAGAAGTTAGCAAATTCATGAAATAGTCCTGTATAAAACAATCCCTTCAAAAAAAAAAAAGGGAATTTTGGTACACCTTTCAAATTAATGGTTATTAAAAGAAGAGTTGCATCGTTAATAAAGATAAGAGCAGTTCGAGAATCAAATTTAGAAGTGATAATCCCTGGTGATAGCGGCTTGAATCAGCCCAACAACATCACTTGAATATTCTAGTGCCATTGCCAGAATAATCAATGATAAAGTGCTAAAGGAAATATCGAGTATCAAATATCAACTACAAACTAACCAGATGTTTTGTCCCCGCCAAAACCCGACTTCAGGTATCCTGTTTGATCGAGATGACTAACGTCACCCCAGGATTTTATGGTCCATTGCTCATCAGACAAGTGAAATATGTTTACAGATGTATTAAGCACCTTCCCTGCAGACTTTCCGTTTGGGCAAGCACGCTTGTTGAGTGATCTAATGACACCGCCATGGGAAACCACAACAACTCGCTCTCCTATCACAGAGATAAGCAACTATTCAGATATTTAAACCAGAAATATATTAGCCTAGTAATGTTATAAGGTAACGGTAGGCACTGGAGGGCAAATAAAGTTGTTCAAACACTTGCATGTTTTAAATATTTACAGCAGCAACACCTTGTTATTGGGCTTAATGGAAAATACTTGCCACCGAGTGCTAAAAATTAAACAAATTATAACAACAAACTATTCATAAACCATATCATTTGCACCTTGATTATGATCCTTTACAAATGATACAACATACCTTTATGCTTCCTACCAATTCTCTGCAACGAAGATGTGCAGCGATGATAGAGTTGGTCTAGGCTTTCTCCACCACCCTGAATATGAAGTGAATCAGAGTAAGCATTTAAATGTATAATAACGTGAAAACCATGATATACTATCATTTTTTCTTTTACTATAATCACACTTAACTAGTTATTGCATATTTTTAGTAACAAGAGCATGTGCTGCACTAGTGATTAAAGATGATTCAAACAAAAAAAGGGCTTACAACTAGATAATAACTGGCACAAATCAACAAACCATCAGTAAACATATTAATGTAAAGTGCAATCAATACTACAACTTCAGAAGTAAGTATGCTTGTAAAGAGTAGTGGATTGTGATTAAGAATGACTAGCAAGACATGGCCCAAAAATAAGGATAGCTAGCAATGACAACCATTTCCTTCCATGTTGGGAGAGAGAATACTAAATGCAAAATCAAGAAAAACTAGACTCAATTTGGCCTTTTCAAGTTTAGTATTTAGTGCCAAATTTGAACCTTCATTTTTGACCAGAAGTCGTAATATTAACTTGAGACATAATGTTAGAGAGCCATGCTTCAAAGATGATTATTTGAACATAATTCTGAAATTTATGAAATCCAAAGCCAGCAATTGTCTAGCCAACACATTACTAATTTAAATAGAGAATATTCTCATACTAGCAAAGCCAGAGACAAATTTATTCCTAGATTTCGCAATGTTATCCTTCAAGTTCAAACCAATCCTAACTTACTGGTATATCTTGATCTGTCCTGTGTGATGAAAAGGCCTTGTAAGCTTTGGGACTGAGCTTGGCTGCTTCACGATATACAAGGCCTTGAAGATCCCCTAAATTTCTCTCCCGTAGGTCTGGATCTGTTATAACCTGGTTCACATCCAACAAACATAGATAACAGAAAATCTTCACATATAGTGCCAAACTCCTCCAACCTATAGACCATATCTAGCATCATTGAAAACTTGAAACTAAAAATTCTAAAAGAAGCTGCCTTAACAGTGGAAAAACACACTTCTAACACATTTTAACTCCAGGAACATTACTTTGAGATTCATACCTCTAACCCACCACACCTAGCTGCGATCGTCTCAGCTGTCACAAGAGCTCGCTTTAAATCAGATGAATATACAGCAGATATTTTAGGCTCCTTAGATAGTCGGTCAGCCACCTATAATAAGTGAGAGGCAGGGAACAAAGAATGAACTTAAGATATCAACATTAGAGAAAGAAATGTCATATGAGCAAAAATTACAAGAACATACTGAAGCTGCTTGCTCTCTCCCAGCTTCATTTAGTTCCACATCCAAATGCCCCTATCAAAAGATATAGGAAAAAACTAATCAAACCATCAAGATAAACTGTTACATTAACCAAGGCATCCACATAACAAGAGTATGGATACGTACAAATGTAATTGAAATTTGAAAATAGAAGAATCAATATGTATAAGAGGTAAATCAAAATGATCAGTCTGAGAACCTTGTCCAAGATTTTATCAAACTATTAAGAGTAATAAAATCATGAGATTGAAACGGATAAGGCTGTTTTGTTCATCATCTTGCACTCTATCATATGAATTTCATCATACAGATAATAAACCATTTCCATCTATGAAGCAGATAAATACCAAGTCCTTTTCTTTACTACTTAAACCTAACAAAACTTTCTTCTCCTTTACTTGATCCAATCCTAAAATAACCAAAAATCAGATTATATAAAGTGTGAACATTTACTTCATATTCAAAATCTCAAAATAGAGTTATAATCTTCCAACATGAAATTAAATATTAAGTATTTATCAATAATAAATCAAAAATATTAAGTATTTATCAATAATAAATCAAACTTACTTAAACGTGATTAAAATCAATAATCCAAACAAACAAATAAACAAATAGATCATAGAATCTCCCGCGCACGCCATATCCCTAATTATCCGATAATTTCCAGAAAAAAAATGATATATTTGACATTTTTATGTCCAATTCAAATTCCAAAATATATAAAATATTAAATATTTTTTAAAAAATGTGAAATTTTTCGAGAAATTCAAACCTGAATTCTTCCATCAGCATTCCACTCCGTTTCTCCATGTCGCACCACCACAATCTCAGCATAAGCACCATCCACGCAGCTGTAATTTGACACAAATTTATTAAATCGAAAAAAAGAAGGTCCTTTTGCAGTTTCCAGTTTGAGTTATGGTAAAGAAATTTAACAAATTTAAGGATGAGTTAGTTTACCTAGAGTTAGAGTCGGACATTGGTAGCGAGTAGGCCGGTTTGACAAGTTGAGTCGAGCGGCGACTAAAGGAAAGGCTTTGTTTCGGTACATTATTACGGTGGAGCGTTTTTATAGCTGAAGGAAATTGCACGTAAACTGGAATCTTGACTGACCCTGACGAGAAATGCGGAGAATGCAGACATTCTGCTAAAGGGTACTTGGTGCGCAATGCGCTCATCTTTAAAAAGAAAATTTTTTTTTCAAGAAAAACGTGGTAATAATTAGGGGCTTAATTACAACCTTAGCCTGTAAATGGATGGACCAAATGCAAGAACTGCAGATTATTTTGATGTCGTTGCAGGAACAAGCACTGGTGGGTTGGTAGCCACCATGCTTACAGCCCCGAGCATGGGAAACGGACGACAACCCATGTAAGAGGCTCAGGACAACAACAAATTCATTTGCTTTTTTTTTTAATCTCAGAGGTAATTTATTTAATTAAAGGATAGACATAGCAACATGGACTTGTACTAGTATTACAAGAATCTAGCTCCGACGTATACCGTACATGTAAAGCCAACAGATACGACATTACAAGAAAGGCAAGCCGGTGAAAACAAGGCATTCCTAGGACTTGGGGTTTCAAATGACTTTTTTTTTTATTCCTATGAAAATTTGATTTGGAAAACGACAGAATTGTAGCAATTAAGTCGGACTCATAATGCAAATGTTTCAGAGAAATCCCAACATGGGAAATCTGTTTTCTTGATCAACAATAACAGCGATGGAGTCATTTGATGAAACAACAGCGAACTACTTGGACCAAGGACGAGAATCATACAAAGGAAGTTGCAACATCTTGGAGGCCAAGGTGGAAGAACTGAAGAAATAAAGGAAGAGCTAAAAAGAGCCAAGGATGATGCCATAGAATCATGGTTAGACTCCAAACCTCTTATTGATGAGCTTGAAAGCCTAAAATCAGACCTCGCCACTGCTCAAAATCGATGTTTTATGTCTAATAATGTAATTTTGGCGCCTGAATAACAAATTGAGACCGTTGTCATGGACGTTAGATCCAAAAGGGAGGAAGAACTCGGGGCCACAAAGATGATCAATGAAATAAACCGAGCTCTAGAACAAACACGCGAAGAGTTGGAGCAATTGAAGGCAGATAAGGATGAAGAGCGCACGGCAAGATCTAAACTAAAACAAACCTTGCGGCTAAGGAGGCAGACTCTTCGGACATTGCAACTCACACTTCGAGCCATGCGAATAGAATCAGAAGCTTTTGGAGCATCAGCAGCTGAAGCACTTCGCTACATCAATCATCCAGAATCAGACAATTTCCCAGTACAACTAACTCAGGAAGACTACTATGCCCTAAAGAGAAGAGCTGAAGAAGAAACATTATTGGCAGATTGGCGAGTTTCAGTAGCAATGGAACAGAAGGTTACAGCAGAGGCAGGGCGAAACTTAGCTTTAAAAGGATTAAAAGAAACACATCCAGACAACAGATCAAGGAGGAGAAAGACGGTGGATAAGATACTTGTAGATGAAGAAACAAAACAGGAGGAGCCAGAAGTAGTCGAAGTCCTAAATAGAAGATATGCATTCCCAAAAGCTCGAGCGAAAGCAATTGCTGAGAACAAGCAAGCGAAGCCACAATGGTGGATGAAGTGGAAAAGAAGGAAAAATAAAGAGTTTGAAAAGAAAAAGAAAGTATCGATTTTATGTCAAATAAAAAGTTTTATTGTGCGCATAAAAAGATTGTTCAGATAAGCTCAAACAAACATGCAAGGAAATTTTCAGTTTAAGACCAGAAATAAATAGGAAGAAAAGACAATTCCGAATTAAAATTCACCCAGGTTTTGAGTATTTCTAAAAAGAGATCTGGCAGGAAATTTTCGACAATGCTTATTTCAAGAATTTGATTAATAACAAGGGCCCACTTTATTAAGACCAACAGCTCTTCAATGAAGGCTCCATGGACTCTCAGGTCACTGCATATAGCGACAACCCCATCACATTTTGTGCTGATTTTGCGGATGCCATTGTGAAAATGGGAAACCTTAGCCCCTTGACAGGAAACAATGGGGAAATTTGCACTAATTGCAGGAAAGTGAACTGATATATGGATAACTTAAACCTTCTAAAATCTACTAATTCGTTCAACTCATGGGATGAAAATGTCACCTTCTGTAAGATATACATAAAAAAAGAGCTTTCTCAAATTCGGAAGCTCTAAAAAATAGTCAATAGCACACAAAAACAAACCTGCTCATATATCCTACTTCTGGATATGCTTCAAGGATGGAAAGGCTTCAGGAACTTTAATAAGGCATTGATGACAGAGATCAGGTGGGAAGCTCTTGGTTAAGCTCTCCATGGCCACAAGTCAGACAGCATCTTTCAAGGTGTCCAACGCAATGCTTAAAGCTGCCTTATCAGCAGAAACCTTTAAAATAATGTATAGTGCTTCTTCCTCTCGTCAATGTTATCCAAAAATATGGTTCTTCTTGGACTCCTGGTTAATAGATCTATTAATGGTACCAGAAGGGCTGGGATGATAACTATTTTGACTCGAGCGTGGAGAAGACAAACTAGGCAGAGCCTCAAGGGTAGATCGAGGAGAATATCGTGGGGCCACTGTTAAGTTGGAACTCTTGTAATAAGATCGTTGTGCAGTCTCACTGGAGAAAAAGAATGGAGTAGACAGTCAAGAAAAGAATAGAGTTTACCAACTTGATTGAGTTTTTTTTTTATTTTTTAGAACTGCAGTAAGGATATGCAAATGACAGAGTATAAGTTCAAAGGCAATGCAAAATGTAACTCTTTACCTGTCAGGAGTCACAATTTTAGTATTTCGCAGGCTTTGCTGAACTGGCAATTGATCCAGTTTAAATTCAGATCGCTCTGTTGGACTAAGGGGCATATCCTGTATATATATTAAACCAGTTAGTAAACAAAGTATTAGATGTCAGCAGCAACAAAAGGGGAAGTATTCTTATTTACCATGGACTTTTGCACATTAGATGATGAGCGACTAGGTGAGGCACCCGACTGTGATGAGCATTTTACAAATGGATGCTCAAGTAACATGCTTGCAGATGGTCTCTCTGCAGGATTTCTTAGGAAGCAGCAGCGCAGGAAATCCTTCCCTTCAGGTGATAACGTTTCAGGTATGGGAGGGGTATCCCTCATCACTTTAAACATAGCTGCAGCCTGCATTAACAGAGAGAATGTGGAGAAATTAAAAATGGCTCTTATTTAAAAACAAACTAGACCACGCAATTTATTGTCCTTGTCATGCAGACAATTATGGCACTCTTATAAGTCTTTAATGATTGGCGGACAAGTAAGGCCATCCAGCACAATCTAATTGGTAAACAATGCATAACTATTAGCAGTATTAGAAACACAGTACCCAACTCTTTGTTCTTTTTTTTTTTTTCTGAAATCTGATGACTTTTAATGCAACAGTGAAAAGTTGGCATGTTTAAATTTTCTCCAATGCTCAGCATGATTAATAAAGTGAATTGAGATACATCAGGTGCTTACCCCTTCATACTCACTCCATGGAGCTTTACCAGTGAACATTTCGATAATCGTACAACCCAAACTCCAAATATCAACGGCTAGAGCGAGAGCAGAACTACTATCTTTCTGCATCACAGCTTGCATCAACTGCAGGGAAATGAATGTCAGTATGTTGAAACTACAGACCAATATGTATTGATATATTTGCGATATGGTACCTCTGGAGCCATCCAGTATGGGCTTCCCTTCAAAGATAGATCAGCTCTTTGTCCACTAAGCTGTGCAACAAATGGATCCAAAATCATTGAAGCAATCAGGAAAATAACAACTAGCAAAGACCTTGAAGCAAGATATCTTGGAAGAACAATAAGTAATGAAAGGCAAATTATGATGATGATGGTAACACATCTGCTACACCAAGCTAATCAACTCTAATTTTTGCACAGCTCATAACTGCCACAGTTAACTATTAATAGTACAGAATACCTCATCTTTCTTCTGATTCTTGTTATTTTGGCTTGAATATCAAATTAGATCTAAGTCTAGAATTTTTTCTATTCGATAATACAATCATGGGTATCCTCAAGCTTTGCCAGGATCAAATTCCCTCCGTGAGTGACCTTAAGGGCGTACTCTCCCACATCGGTCTGATGTATCCAGGATTTTACTTCCGGAGTGCTCCCCACAAGAATTGAACCCTAGTTGACAAGAAAAGGGAGCTCCTCTCCTTAGTCACTGCACTAACCGTTTTGGATAAGGCTTTAGATCTTGAAAGCAAGTACCTTTGCTAATACAGCATTTGATGTCTTGTAGACCAAAGGAACATAGTACCATACTTGTAAAGCAAAGAAAATGAAGATTTAAAGGATTCCTTGCTTGAAGACTACACAGTTTCAATTCTGCCAGCACATACCAGGTGTTGCAACTTTATACAAGCACAGTAATAATCTCAACTAAAAAGATTTAATCTGTCTTTATAACTTCCTGTGTGCTTATGTCAATATATATTCATCACCTCTTTTACACTTCACTAAAATGTCCATAAAAGGACTGCAGTTGTGAGAATGAATTCAAATAAAAATTTCTTTTCATGTTAAATTATTTATTGTTGTGTGGGGAAGGGTGGGTGGACATTAACTCATAAAAGATCCTATGGCTACAAATTTACATGCCTTATCTGTGACTAGCATGCATGCAAAGAGAAGGGGAAGATATGAAACTCACATGTTTGGACATCCCAAAGTCAGCTAGCTTGACGACTCCAGATGCATCAACAAGCAAATTAGCCCCTTTAATATCCCTAAATAGAACAGTTAAAGAGCATACTAAGCACCAATAATTCATGCAAGAATACTAAAATAGGCTCTTTTCCTCTTCTCAAACTACTAGTCTTTCTGTGCTTAAAATTTGAATTAGAATTTAATACTAGATGTTATTCACTTTTACACTCTACTTGGCTATTTTAGGGTGCATGACAAGCCTTATTTTAACCCAGAAATCAGGACTGTGCTTTGTACCTGTGGATTGTCTTTGTGCCGTGCAGGTAAGCCAACCCAGAAAGAATATGGCGAGTAAAATTGCGAACAACAGATTCTGTTACGGCACCACAGTGATCACGAACATATTTATTAATTGAACCAGGATGAACATACTCCAGATATATGTAGAACTTGTCTTCAACCTGCATATGCATAATTTGAAGTCCTTAGCAGAAGTTCTTGAGATAATAAGTGGAGTAAGAAGAAGAGGTGAAATCCTATACATGCAATTGGCATGTTACTTACTATTTCACTACCATAGTACTGAACTATATTTGGATGCTTGAGCTGGCTAAGAACCTTAATCTCCTGCAATTAAAGAAGTAGTTAGGAAGGCGGTAGAAGAAACTAACAGCATTAGTAATCATTAAATTCTCACTCTTCTCTCTCTAGAGTGAAGAAATGTAATATTTGCTGCAGAAAAACCTGCTCTAGTTGCTTTATACACTCTGCAGATTTTGGGTCATCAGGAAATATCTCAACTTCTTTCATTGCACGTAAAGCTCCAGTTTCTCTGTCAGAAAGAAGAAGCCCCTTTAGCGTTGAGATAGCAAGAGCAACAGACAGCAAAGATACATAGAACTTGTATACCTGTTACTGGCAACATAAACACTTCCAAATGTACCACGTCCAATAAGCTTGCCTTTTTGCCATTGACAATTCATTGGCAATGGCTCCAGTTTAGTTGTAACTTGGGGAATGGAAGCTGATGGTGAAGCCATGGCTGCTCCTGGAGGAAGAGGTAATGGATGGACATTGATAGGGCCATTACTTTCAGGTCTGGATGATGAGATCTCAAGTAACAACTTCTGATGTACCGGTGAAGGAGGTCCACTTTGGCTTCTATTCTTTCGACGAGGACTTCTATTTGGTGGGCTGTGAAGTGGAGTATTATCGGTGCTAAATGCAATGTAATCATAGAATGCTGGGGGAGGAAGCCCTGCAACATCTAATGTCAGCATCTCTGGTGCCGACCAGACTTGTTTACCTGTAGGAACAATATAGTGTGGATACATGTCACCAGCACTCATTCTGCGTGGGCTAATTACAGCAGGACTGCTGTATGGACTCGTGGGAAAACTTCTAACAGGAACATTCACCCTAAACTCATCCTGAGAACTGTCCCCTCTATTGACTTCTTGATGTAACACCTTAGAGGATGATCTTGTGTCCACATGTTCTGCTATCTTCCTTGAGTCACGAGAAGCAAACATACTGTAATAGGATAAATTAACAAACTCTCAGTTATTGCAAAACCAGTAAAAGAAGTTATCAGAACGTCTATAATGACTCTAAATATAAAACCTAAAACTGCTCTGCAAAACAAAAAGCACATTTTATTAAAGCAGCGCGGCCAAGATGTTAATAACAAACCCATACATGAAAGAAGCTTTAAATTTTCAGATTGAGCATTCAGATTATCAATCAAATAATATTACAATCATGAATAAACCATGCCTTAGATCATAATTAGTTTCTAAAATTTCCTAAAATTAGCAAAATTGACAAATGAAATATCAATTTTGTTAAAAGATAAAAATAAATAATCCTTTTTAAAATTTGTAACCTATTGCATCAATTAAGACAGGATCAAGAAATCTCTAAGTAAATATTAATTAAAACTAATAACTAAGAAGAAAAAAGAAATCACCTTGAATTGAAAGGAGTTCCATCTGCTTTTTCTCTATCTCTATCCTCTAAACCTTTGCCATGTCCAACTTCATTAGGCGACGGCAACCGTTGCTCCCCGTCTCCTTCTGGAACAGGAAGCGGAAGCGGCAACGGCACCGCCAACCCCGATGATGTTGTCTTCGAAGCCGGAGCCGACGACGACAACGGAGTATCGTAACTGCTGGAGAGCGGCGCCGCCACCGCCTCCGTCTGCGCAATCTCCTGCTTGCTGAGACGCCTTAACTCCTTTAGCCTCGTCAGCTTGGGGCCCGCAATGCGAAACCCCAAGTAATGGGAACGAGAATTGTGACGTTGATTGTGATTACGCTTATGATAATTCTGATTATTACTATTATCTTGCAAATGCTTCTCGGGAGAAGTTGCCGACCTGGCGGCGGTGGTGGAAGAAGAAGACGAAGAAGAAAAGGAAATATTAGGCCAACGCATGGCTAGAAATCATTCTAAAAACAAGAAATCAAATCTCCAAAGCCAAAGAATCAGAAACGAAAAAAAAAGGAAAATCCATAAATTTAGATTTAAAAAGAACAAGATGTGCAATAACAAAAGCCGATGATGTTACAAAAGATTGAAAGGGAGCCGAGCTTCCGTTTGCAATTTGGATGTCGGGAAACCGGGTTTTTTTTTTTTTTTTTATGTTATGTCTGAAACAACTCGGGTTTGCGATCGAAGCCTTGTTGTTTTTAGGGAGGTCAATAAAGCTAAGATGCTCTTGCTTTTTCGCTTCGCCCTTTTTTTATTATAATATATTTTTGAAGAATATCTCTTTCTTTTGTTTTTTTTTATTCAGATTTAATTGGATTTATTTAGGGGAGAGAGCGTGTGGAACTATATATTTTTTTCTGTCGTTAGAACATGGCGTGAATTTCCGTTAAATTACAATAACAAAGTTGCTGTTGGAGTAGTTGGTTAATGACATGGCAATAATGATAATTTATGTAAAACTGAATTAACGAATTTATGTAAATGTTCTAATGGAGGTTTAGTGGTTTAATTACATTCTATAATAAATAAAAATAATGGAAAAAAAAAAACACAAAGCCAACCTTTTGGTTAGTTATTGACACATAACACAATGTTTTTTTGTTATAATCGCTGATTTTAATCGTAAATGTAAATAAAAATTAATTGACATCTTACATTTTATTATATTTTTAAAGTCAAGATTTTCAGTTTTAAATATGCATTTCCAATTAAAATGATAATGATTTTAAAAGAAAAAAAACTCATTTTTTATAAAAAAATCATAATTTAAAAATAAAAAAAATTATAAAAAATTAAGATTTAAACTTTAAATCTGTTAAATATTATTTTTTAAATAATAACATAATTATTAAATAAAATTTTAAATTAAAAATCATCATTTTGAATCCAAAATCATACATATGGATTAATAATGGACACCGACATGTTTGCCAAAGAAAAAGGAATACATCCTTGATGTAGTTGAATATTCATTTTTGTTGTTGATCTATCTTTTTTAGTACTAAAGAAATATAATGTATATTAGTTCTGTTCCATGCAAAAAAAATTAGTAATATAATAAATTCAACTTTAGAATTTGAATTTGGACCCTTTTTTTTTTTTTTTTCCTTAGTGAAGATCAACATCATCGGTTATTTGAAGAAGTTTCGATGACCACTCATGTTAATTGAGCATTGATAATGGTGCAAAAATTTCTTATTCTTTATAGCTACGCCTTGCATCATTTGACAAAAAAAAATAACACTGCAGACTCATTCCAAAGGGTGATTAATTCAACCACTATGTTAGATTGATGCATATGGTTGATCATGGATAAGATAAATTTAAAAAAAAAGCCTAAAATCTAACACCTTAACTGGCATAAAGGAAGAATCTATTTGATATTTGGTTTTATTATTATTTTTTAGAACATCAGTAAGATATTTCAGATTTTATCTGAATTTGGAAAATGAATAATAAGATATTGACAAATGACTTATTATAGGAGACATAAGAAATGAGATTAATAATAAAAGAGTAATAATAGTAATAATAAATTTATTATTGTAATAACTATAGAAAAAGATAGGGATGAACCGACTTGGTCCTACTCTTTACTTTATATAGAAAAAGATAGGGATGAACCGACTTGGTCCTACTCTTTACTTTATAATCATTTTCATCATCATCTATAAAAATACATATATTTAATCCAAATACTAAATAATACCTTTTTTTTTTCCCAACTAAGGCTGAGTCGAGGGAAAGAACAGTGAGTAGCTTTCAAGACTGAGTCACAATCCACTTGGCAGAGACTGCCGTTAGGCAAGCCTAACGGTCAAACATTCAACGGAATTACAAACAAGAGAAAAGAGAAGGACCTTATCTTTTATCTTTTGGGACGCGTCGCCTTTCCAAAGCTTCCTCACAATTTTGACTCATTGGTGCAAATGCCACAAGCAGTAGCCCTCGAATTGCGATAAAAAAAAAATTGGAGAGCTGTGAAACTGGTTCAGCCAAAATCGAAGACTTGAAAACCATGTCAAAATTTTATACTTTGTTGACTGAGGCTAGGATTCTGGTTTTCAATGTCATCATTGAAACTCCTTTTGTCAACCAAGGAGCGACAAAGCCGTAGCTGGAGTGACATCGTCCTAAGACATAGCCATTGCTGAATGTAAAGTTGCAAGAAATAGTCATACTTGTCTCGAAATGAAGCTAACTCAAAAAACTGCGGACCCATTCCAAGTCGTGGTAATGGAATGAAGGGTTGAAATAATTTATTATAAGCAGTGGATATTATATGAAAAGTTAGCCAGCTATGGACCGCGGACATGTTTTGGCAGAGGAAAGTCTTGAGAACGAAAATGGAAGCAACAGAAATATTGGTCTTTAACTAGGTAAACAGTCATGGACTGCCGACATTATTGGCAGAGAGAAGTCTTAAGAATGCCAATGTGAGAAACGACTAGAAGTTATGGAAAATCTTAGTAATCTCACCAACCACACAAAAAAAAAAAAAAAAACAAAACTATTTGGAAGGTTGAGCTTCCTTCCCTACCGAAAAGTTAGCATCAACAGTCAACAAATCATAAACAAATACATGAGAACAAAATTTTCATCGTTCCAAGTTACTGGTAGGCAGAAGAAAAGAAGGAATCGGCTATGTGAAGAAATTATATTGTGGATATTCTTTAGCTAGAGGAAACCCTTGGGAATGAAATTATATCAAGTGGACATCCTATTTGGTTGGTTTCGAACCTCGTTCCCTATAGATAAATCATTGACATTCAAAGAATCATAAAGAAATGTGTAGTTAACTACATAAATTCTGCATATCCTACAATCAATTGCGTAACCATTTCACAGGAACCACCTCCTCTTAATGTTACTTTGAAACAAGGTTTGAAACAAACTAAAAACACCGATACAACATGATAGTGATTCCATTAACGACTACCACAAAACACCAGCACTGTCTGATTACACTCTTAAATGTTAGATTCCTCATCTCTTGGGAAATCTCAAAGCACCACATCAACAAATATCAGACTTATTCTTGAAATACTTTTATCATATGAGCACGCATCACTGATTTTGAAAGTCAACTTCATGCTTCTATAGCTATACCTTCATGGGCTCTGGATTTTCAAAATATGTTGGCACAATCTTACACATAGGCATGCTTTCATTCTTGCTTAGAAGCTTCAAGGAAGGATGAACCTCAACATCATGCATGAACACCCTATCATCAATATCTAATTTGCTCACGTCCACCTCAATTTTTTGAGGAATGTGTTCTGCTGGCCCTAGAAACTTTAGACTAGTTCTTATACTGTTAAAGTAGCCACCTGTTAAGGCATTAAAATACCACCAAATAATGTTTGTCAATGACAAAGCATATTCTGATTGTCAGACTTCAATGAGATAAAGCAGAGGCAAAATCACATGAGATATATATATATATATATATATATATATGAGCAATCCCACATTTACATAACAAAAAAGAGAATAATAATAAGAAGATCAACAAGTGGTTCTCCATAAACAACATGAAAACAAGCATTAAAAGAAGGAAACCGGTAAGCAGTCCTGTTTGTCTGTTTTACATGCTAGTTCCTAACAAGAAAGAAGTAAAGGGTATAGAAAGGCATTGATAAAATGGTAAGGAAAGGCCATATGCGTGTTTGGGTTTGGGTCCACGTGCATCATTGTTTGCACCCAGACATATGGTAATGTAACAGCATTTAATGGAAGCAATAATATGAAAAGCCAGGAAAGACCATTAAGATGTGAAGATGAGCAAGAAAGAAAATGGATAACAAGGTGCAAGAACCAAGAATAAGTAAGGGTAAAGATAGTGCCATAAATTCCCTAAAACAACGAAGTAGTTTCTTTTCTTTTTGGCACTTGAGGTTATTGGGATTGAGCCCTACTCATTAAAACTAAGAGTCAAGCACTCTACCAATAGACCACATGGTTGTTGGCAACAAAGAGGTAGTTTCAATCGTGCCTTATGCCTGACTACTAATTTTTGTATTCTACCGGTTCAGCACCTCAGCCCTAGACTCTTTGCTTGATAACTTTTGTTGCAAAAGTATACTTTAAATAGATAAGAAGTTGAAAAAGACCCTTGGAGAAAACATTAATGCACTTAATTTGATGACATAAAACAGAATAAAAAATTGTTGTATCTAACCTAACTAACCACAACAGATCTCCAAGAAAATGTGATTTATAAACACCAGAAGTTCCAACATCATATAACATATATGCAAGAAGATGCCCGGGGACAAGCAAACACCCAAAAGATTTTCAAAATGATAATAGTAAATAAAACCAAATGCATCAGTCCCTGCCGTCTACGGGCTAAATCACTTCTACATTTCTAGTTTTCTAGATATCCATATTAAGAAAACAATTTATTCACGTGAGCATTGTGCTGCATGAGTAAAATCACAAAGGAAGACTCCATAAAACATAATGGCTTTACTATTTTTCTATTCAACTTTGTAAAACCCCAACATAGATATCTAATTACATTCTTTACCCAACAATTTCAGATAGTTAACAATTATGAGATTCTCATCCAAATGGAGAAATGGACAAAACAAATTTCCCACCATAAAAAAAGTAAATAAAGCACAACATGAATCAAACAAAGACTAATGGGGCAATTTTAGTAAATTTTTTACCTTTCTTAATACCAGGGCAATCCTCTTCTCCTTTGAAAACAACGGGCACATCAACCTTCAATTCAGTCCCTTCATCAGCCCAAACAAACACCAAATTCAATATCTTCCCACTGTCCTCATCCCTATGAATCTATAAAACAACCCAAAAAACAAAATTTAAACTTGGATAACAACAAAAGCTGATAAACCCAAAAAAAAAAAAAAAAACTCGCCTTGATGGGTAAAACTCTTCCGGATTCAAGTAAGACCGAAGACCCGGAACCGGCCCTGATATGAAGCTGAAACATAGTGGAACAAAAGAAAGGGAGTTGAACGGACTTGAGGATGGATTGAACCTGCTTTCTTTCGGTAGTCAAAAGCTGTTTCCTCGATGGAGAACGGTTGCTAGGGTCTTTTTCGAGCAACCCTTGAGAGAAAACCACAGCCGGGATTCTACCTTGGGCTCTGTCACGGCTCGAGACACGGCTTCCGGTGCATTCTCGAGGGATGGCTTGGATGGTGTGGTAATGGTGGGAGTTTGCAGGTGAAGCGGTCTGGGTTTGGACCACCGCTTTCAGGCCGCGCCACAACCTGGACATTAGGGATCGTTTCCAATGCAGAATGGAAATGGTGATGGGATTTACTGGAGTTTGGGTTGCTGACTGACGCTCTCAGACTCGAGTTTTGGAATAAGGGTTTTGTGGATTGTTAGGGACTGGCGGGGTTTAAGGACCTGGGCCATGGTTGGGGCTTTCCTTGTTGGGCAAGGTTTAAGAAAGTGTGGGCAAATTTTGTGCCCAAACCTACAAAACTAGATATCCAATTCGGCCCAATAAACTTTTTAAAAGAGCCATTGGACTAATTTATTCATCAAGTTTTTTTGGCACATTGACCTGTGAAGGTGTTTATAAAATTTCTAAATTTTTTGTGGAATTAGAATATTATTATGTATTCATTATTTATTATATTAATTTTTTAATTTTTTTAATATCTCTTAACGAGGTAAGTGACAATTTTTTAATGCCATTAATGAAGTTTAAAAGTTTCAGTCTCAATGCAATGAATAATTTTCCAATCAATATTTTCTTTTAGTTTTTTACTTTATTTAAAGTTAATGAAGGTCCCCAAATTTCCAATAGAAGAAGAAAATTAAAAAAAAAAAAGGTTTAATTTCTTGCTGTGCATTTTAAAACTCCATGAGCTTCAAATATGAAAAAGATAGAAACTATAATTGATGTATAACTCTACAAAGAATAGCTCTACAATGCAGATCACTGCAATTTTTATTGTGTGTTCCAATGCAAGGAGCTCTTCATCAAACCCCAAAAACCCAATGCTTACTTTAGATCTGTGAGGTAAACTCACTCCTATTTCTTTCTCTCTTTGTTGTTCACTTGTTGTATGCGGCAGATATCAGCTGCACAAAAATGAAACAAGAAAAACCAAGACAATAACAAGTCATGAGGAAATGCTAACAAGACTTGGAATTTTATGAGTATAGTCGACATTTAGATCATTAGCAAAAGCCAAAACAATATAGAAGGACAGATGATGCAGAAGCTGACTGGAAACTTCATCTCATCCAATGTCAATGCAATTTTTAAAAAACACTACTACTTCTACATCATTACAAGGAAGAAGCTCTCAACCTATTTCCAGTCAAAAATAAAAATATTAAACAAGGTACTAGTACTATTTTTTTTTTTCCATAAAGGAAAATTGAAAGGTAGGGTCCTTTATTAGGTAAAAGGAGACAATCTAAAAGGGCACTGTTGTCTTTCAAAGAGGGTGTGAAGCAAATCTCAGAAGATAGGTCAAGATCATGGATTTGATCTACCACACTAAATTCCCCCACAAAACCCACTCTCTATCTACCTCCTTTTTGTCTCATGCTTACTACAAAATCTAGTGCAGAAACGGATCATTTATTTTTGTTCAACACAACCTAATCAAGCCAAAAAGCAAACGGATAACTGTTCATTCATTTCATTTTCCTGGAAAAGATTTTCCGAGCAAAATTTTTTCCATCAAATGACAGTAGAAGTAAGGAATTAGTAGATTAGGAAGAAGAAAATAAAATGTAGATTTTCAAGTCAATCTAAGGCTGCTACTTCTCATTGATGCCACTGACAGCTGATAAGTGGAATATCCCTAGACTGAGAAAAGACAATAATTCTCTTACCCACCCTTCAGCCTTCTACAATTAAAAGAGTAATTCTAGCTTTCAACTGGCACCAAATGATTATTTCCCCATTTATGAAAAAACCCAACGTACATTGCACACAAAACCATCAATGACCCTTCATAAATGCAAAGCTTATCTAGTATACAGAAAACCTTCATGGATATGCATATACCATAAGTTCATGAAGGAACAAATCAAAACACTTTACCTATAATGAAAATTTGCTTTAATGAAAAAGCGGGAAAGCAACCACTCAACCTGCAAACAGGAAAAAAAAAAGGTTTCTTTTTTTTTTTTTTTTACACTCAACAAGAACGACCAATACTCCTTCCCTCCTCGCTTCCTGAACTTTGCTGTAGTGGCTGCTGATTTTGCTGTGCCCGTTGCTGCTGTTGCCCTTGTGGCTGAAGCAAAAGTTGTGCTTGAAGTGGATGACCACCATGAGAATAATGATGATGATCTTGTCGTTGTGCCTGAATCTGATAAGGGTTTATCAAAACTCCCTAAAGCCAATGAAGGTGACATGGTAGCTGCAGTTGTTATCTGATTCAACCCAGTTGCAGTGACTGAATTAGCCCCTTCAAACCCATTATTAAACCGCACAATCTCTTGCTATTGACCCTGATTATGTTGCTGTTCATAACCTCGAAACGTTTCTTGTTGTTTCCTTGCAGCTTCCACCGCAGCCAATTGTTGTTAAGCCTCAAAAATCTGTCGCTGTTGTTGCGGTTCCCTTATCACCAACTGCCCTCCATGTGAAGCAGAAGCCGCTGCGACCGTAGGAATCCCAATTATTGTCATCATATTATGTTGCATCACAACTGAAGAAGAAGCGTTACCAACATGTTGCAAAAGAACTGGCGGTTGTAAAATAGGAAGCATAGCTTGAGGACCAATATAAGTAGACAGTTCTTTCTTGGCATTATTAAGATCGTGTTGAATTTGTTTAAGCCTGTGTTGTAAGATGGAGATAAGGCCAACACACAATGGCATATCTTGATATTTGATTTTGGAGGAGCCGGTTAAAATTATATAAATATATATATTTATTATGTTACTTAAATTCAAGAGTGAATATCAAATACGAATATGTATTCAACAAAAGATGCTCATTTTTGTAAAATTATTTTATATACATATTTGAATCCGACCCCCATATTCACATTTATCAAAAATGTATTGAACACAAATACTTTAGGAAAAATGAAAAAATCTGAACAATTAACCTAATGTATTTGAAGTTTTATGAAGAGAAAAAAAAAATTAAAACTGACCATAAAGGATGAGAAAATAAGCGGTTAAAAAGAAAACATTATATATATAATAAGATTTATATTTGATACACTATCAGTGTATAAATTTTATATATTATCACTGAATAAGATGATATCATCTCATTAATAAAATCAATTACATTATATTATCTCATTAATGAATAAGTTTTTTAAAAAATATTAATTTTTGTATATTTATTATTTTTACTTATTAATAAGGTGACATTATCGAATTTATTGACAGTATAAAAAATTTTTATATTGACAATATATCAAATATAATTTTATATAATATTTATTACTTGATTGAAAACTTAAAACTTTATTAAGAAAATTAGAAAGTTAATTTATTTCTTAAAGTGTACAATAAAAATATTACTTTTAAGAATTGTGAATAATGATTGTGAATATAATAAATAGACAAATTATAATAAGATTTTAATTCCTCTTAAATAACAATACATAAAATTAAGTTAAAAATAAAATTAACGAATAATAATTTTAATGTGAAAGCCAATTTAATCTAATTTAATATAGATATATGAAATAATTATAATATATAGTATATATTCGTCATTGAGTTATAGAACTTACTAAAATAAATTTGTTTTAACAAAGATAATTGTAAAAATTTCATAACTATCCATATCAAATAGAATCGGGTTATCATGTTTCGGTCTCAAATACCATAATTTCCTTCTAATCTATTTATCTTGGCATGGTATATATTAAGGGTACTCAAAATCTTTGGGGGGCCAAGGCCCCCTCAGGTTCCGCTTACGATCCGCCATTGCAGCCATAGATAGCATCTCGGAGGCGAGCCTCAGCTTCATAGGCTAACGAGTTGACAGCGTCTTCACGTTGGGAAGTGTTCAGTTCGTTTAAAAGTTTGGCTACATTGCTGGAACCGAAAACTCCGTGAACAGCGGCCAATTTTTGCGGATTCTCTGGTAGGAAGTAAGGTGCAAATACGCATTCTTGGGTGCATTTTTGACGACCATACTTGCAAGCCGCGCAAGGAGAGTTTGATGATGGCATCTCTTTTTTGTCTTCTAATTAAACTGAAATCCATGAAATGAAATATACCCAGATCATCAATATTCATGAATTTGCAAGATCTTAAAAGACCCAGAATGAGAAAACAAAAAGAACAGAAATGGGATTTAATATAAAAGCATTAAAATTTTCACTGAAATGGGAAATCACAAAGAAAAATGCATGTCGGATACAAGAAAGCTTCTTCAGTTCCTTCATCAAAGAAGAAAACAAGAAAAGCTTTCCCTTTTATCATCCAGAAGAAGAATAATGAAAAAGAGAGAGAGAGGTAAGATTTGAATACCCAGAATGCTCCTTTTTTTTTTGTTTATGATTATCAAATCTTCATTGAAAGCCTTACCTTTGCTTGAAACTGCCGGAGGAAAATGATGAAAAGAGCAACCAAGCAAAGTTAGCTCTTTTCTAAGAACAAATTCCTGTCCAATATCGATCCTTCATCTTCCAAAACTTACAGATCAAAATCTTAAACGACAAACAAATCAAATCGTCGTTTCTGGGCAAATCTTGTTCTCTCTAATTAGTATATATAAACTTGGCTAATTGAAAATTTTTTATTAGATTTTTTTTCTTTGGAAGAAGTCATAGTTAGTTATTGTATGAAACTTTTTCCATCATTTTTATGGCAAAATTTTCATTAACATTACTAGCTAGATAAATATACTTCAAGATTCATATCCTTTCAACACATCGAATATGGATTTGAATGTGTCAAACTGTTTGAATATATATATATATATATTTCGTTTGGATTATTTCTAAAGCTTTCACTTAAGGGCTTCTTATCGAGATGAGTTATGATTTTATCATATCTATGAATTCTTTTTCCTTTAAATATATCATAGCAGCTACATTCTATTAATTATCCACTTTTGAATTAACAAATCATTGATTTCCGATGGGTTGGTTCAACAATTAATGTTAAAATCCTTTTTTTACTTGGAAGGTTGCCTGCAATGGAAGAAGAGAGCCTGGATAGAACACATGTTAGGTCAGGGAGCACTTGCAAACAGCCAAATAGTTAAAACCTTTCCTTTAACGGGACGTGAGGGGGGGGGGGCAATGAACGTACGTCTGCCATAAGGGAAAAAGAACTCAAAGAAAACAAGAGTGATAGCACTCAAGAGAGGGGAACAAAAAGAAGAGAAGGGAGAAAGAGAGCAGGAAAGAGAGTGGTTCGATAGATGGTAGTGAGTGAGTAAGCGAGCAGTTGTCTGGCGCCTGGCTGCAGCTGCTGAAGCGGTGCTGTTGTGCAACCACTGACTCCACCCAGAGCGCCGTGCAGAGAGGTCCAGTGTGTTGTTGAGCAATTGCGTGCAGAGGGATTCATTCCATTTATTATAAATACCCTCTATATACACAGATTATTTTTTTTTGGGCGGGGGGGGGGGGGGGGGGGAACGTTGGAACGTAATATTTGAGAAACAGCTCCTTATTAATTAAATTTAATAAATGATAATGAATAATAATTTATAATTTAATAATTAAACATATAGATTAATAATATAGCAAAATTCATTTATTTTTGTTTCATTGGTATAAATGCAAATTTGTGAAATATCTTTGATTTTTATGAATTTCTATTTATTTATTAAATTTAATAAATGATTATGAATGATATTTTATATTTCATTAATTAAATGATTAAATCATAAATACAATAAAATTTATTTATGTTTAATTCGTTTAAAATCTTATATATGCACAAATTTATAGTACCATATGTTAGGTCACATGTTTACTTTGCATTGCATTCCTTGTAGGTTTTATTAAAATTTAAGCCTAAGAAATCACAAAGATGTCCTTATCAAGCAACTAAATAGTTGTACCATAAAAAAATCATATGTACATAATTAATTCAAAGGATAATTATAGAGTACCAAACATATGTTAAAAATAACACAAAATCAGTTTCAATTACTTCATGTTATGTGTCGATTCATTTTAATTTAAAATGTCAAAATGCATATAAGTTGTTTGATTCTCTTAATCAAGAAAAATATTATCTTAAAAATTTAAAAATACTTTAGATAAAATTTTTTAATAGTACTTAGGTGAGTAACGGTCTCATGGAGCAGAGGGGAGTTGACCCATCAGTAAGGGCGTTGAGGTTTAGTCACTTGGAAAATACGATAAAAGGGTTCAATCAAATCAAAACGACTGTCCTCTGATGATGTGCATATTGGTCAGCAACACGCCACTGTAGCTAGCGGCAGCGCCGGGTCAGGTCAGGTATAGCTCCGTACGCCCCTTGACCGGGAATAGCGCACGTCATTGCTTTTCCTCTCCTGAATCGTGCGTTTGGGTTTTTCTTTTTCTTTTTGCTGATGCCAAATGAAGGCAAAAAAAGGTTGACGAAGACGAGGACGAAGACGAAGACGAAGAAGAGTGAGTATTAATGAGAAAATAGAGAAATGATTGCTGTAGAAGTTGCAATTACGAGAATACCCTTTATTTTTAAATGTCAATTAGAAGGTGGAGAAAATTGAATTCCCCATAGTTATTTTCTAATAATTAAAAGTTTTTTTTCCTCTATATTGCCCAGAATTTTTCATGTTGATTTATAATAGTTTTTTTTTTTTTGTTTGAAGTTGTTGATTTATAGTAGTTAGAGTTTTTGTTACCATGTCAATGAATTTATGAGATAGTTTAAAAAATTAATATATTAATAATACACAAAAATCGTTTTAAATCTTATCATGCATTCTTTTTCTAAAAAAATTATAGTTTAAAAATTTAAGTATTGAAATTTAAATTCTAGATATATGAGTATCATTTTTTAAAAATAATTACATAAATTAATTAAATTGAATTTTATATTCTTATCATGTGGTTTTAACTATTTGATGAATTAATTAAATTCATGTAGAGCTGTTAAAATTTTAAGTTTTTATTGATTATGGAAATTAAAATTTTAAAATCTTGTTTTTAGCCAAATCAAATCATTTTTATTTAGATGATGACCAATTCCATATTTTGGACATCTATTTTTTGAAAAACAAAATATCTTGGCACCTCAAAATATCAAATTGAAATTTAGAGTTGTAAATAAAACATTTAGAAAAAGTTTGGTATAATTTTTAAAATTATTGTAGCAATTTAATTATTAAGATGATAAAATCATCAAAGTGATTTGATCACGATTGATCTTAAATTACTATATTTAGTATAATATTAGAAATTACTAGTACTTTAAAATAACTGTATTTGGTATTATATATAAAAAAATCATATAATACAAAATATCCAAAATAATTTTGTAAAAAAAAGCAAAATATTTAATACTTGTTGAATCAACACTTTATAACATAGTTAAACATTATTTTATAAAAAATTATAGTCAATATAAATTTATAACATAACTTTTTTATAATAAGTGATTAAACAAACCGATTTTTTTTTTTAAATTTTTGCGACTAGGTTCTTAGGGGTAATATTAATTATATTTTTTGTAAAGGTGAATTAGTTAGAAAATAATATTGAAAATTATTTTTTCTTGGTGATAAAACTTTTTAATTTTTCATATTGAGAATCAGATTACTTTATAAAATAGTAATCTTATCACCCAGTAATTTAATATCACTAACATATAGAATTTTGAAATTATTATCAAATAAAATAATGTAATTACTTAATGTAGATCACAATAATTTTTAAATGGATCACCTCATACTAAATATTCTTTTAAACACATTAACTAAGTTGGGAATTTGAACCTAATTTTGAATGTAAGATGTGGCTAGACATGCTATACATTTATTTATCCTCTATATCATATATAAAAGTGTTTATATTAAAAAATATACTCACTAATATTATAACAATCTAATTTTTCTAATATTCTTAAAAAAAAAATTAGACATACAAAAGTCAAAGTGAAATTTTATAGTAGTTAACCAACCTTTTTCCCATTGCAATAAAGACCATCCATTGAATTCTATGCAATAATTTAATATTATCACACAACCAAATATTGATCTATACAATCAAATCAAAATTATGAATATTACGCTAACATATGTGTGATTATATGATTTATTAATAAAATGTTAAATCTTTAATTTAGATAATCAAAAATTAATGTTTGACAATTTTAAGTAAAAAAATTTGCTAACATTAATTACCTACCAATTATTTCATCTCGTAATTAATTTCAATTTTCTCATACTAATTAATCCTACAATATAACATTTCTATTTTCATTCATCTTATAATTAATTTCCCAATTTAGCCAAAAAAAAAAAAGCTTCTTTCCATGGTAATCTTGAAAATTTTAAAACAAAGAGAAAAGGGTAATTTCGGCAATGGAAGCAGACAACGCAGGGACAAAGAGGTTTCTCAGGGACGCATTCAATTGTTGTTCAGAATAAGGAACAAACCCTTTTATGATGATAGTAATATATTTATTCTTATTTATTTATTTCCAATTTTTAGTTTTTAATATCCCAAAAATAAAAACCTCAGATTTTGATTTTAAAAGGATTCTGTTTTCTCTAGTCTTTAGGGTTAGGTATTTGTTTTTTCTTCTGTTTGATTTTCTATGATACAGTGAGAGAAAAAACAAAAAAAAGAAAACGAGAAAATAGAAACAGAAGTTTAAGAGGGAACAAGATTTGGCCAGAAACAACTACATGATTTGTTTGTCGTTTAAGGTTTTGATCTGTAAGTTTTGGAAGACGAAAGATCGATCTTCGAAAGGAATTTGTTCTGATTAGAAAAGAGCTATCTTTGGTTAGTTGCTCTTTTTGCCATTTTGCTCAGGCAGTTTCAGCCAAAGGTAAGGCTTTCAATGAAGATTTGATCATCATCAGAAAAAGGAGCGTTTTGGGTATCAAAATCTTATCCCTCTCCTCTTTTTTCTTTTTCTTTGTTCTTCTTCTGGATGATAAAAGAGTTCTTTTTTCTCTTTGATGATAGAACTGAAGAAGCTTACTTGTACCCAACGTGCATTTTTTCTTTGTGATTTCTCATTCCAATGCACTTTTAATACTTTTATATTAATCCCATTTCTCTTTTTTCTCTTACTAGATATCCTCTTCTTTTTATTCTTTTGTTTTCTCTTTCTGATCTTTAAGATCTTGCAAATTCATGAATAATGATGATCTGATTTCAGTTTAATTAGAAGACAAAAGACGAGATGTCATCATCAAACTCTCCTTGCGCGGCTTGCAAGTTTCTTCGTCGAAAATGCACCCAAGAATGCGTCTTTGCACCTTATTTTCCACCAGACAATCCCCAAAAATTCGCCAACGTTCACAAGGTATTCGGTGCCAGCAATGTAGCCAAACTTTTAAACGAACTCAACGCTTCCCAACGTGAAGACGCTGTTAACTCTTTAGCCTATGAAGCTGAGGCTCGTCTCCGAGACCCTGTCTATGGCTGTGTTGGCCTCATCTCCATCTTACAACACAGGCTTAAACAAATGCAACATGATCTTAACAATGCCAAGAAAGAACTGTCTACTTATATTGGTCCTCAAGCTATGCTTCCTATTTTACAACCGCCAGGTTTTTTGCAACAACATGTTGGGAACGCTTCTTCTCCAACTGTGATGCAACATAACATGATGCCACCGATGGGGTTTCCTATAGCTGCGGCGGCTTCGGCTTCACATGGGGGGCAGTTGGTGATAAGGGAACCACAACAACAGCAACAGATTTTTGAGGCTCAACAACAATTGGCTGCGGTGATAGCTGCAAGGGAACAACAAGAAATGTTTAGAGGTTATGAACAGCAATATAATCAGGGTCAACAGCAAGAGATTGTGAGGTTTAATAGTGGGTTTGAAGGGGCTAATTCAGTCATTGCGACTGGGTTTAATCAGATAACAACAGCAGCTACCATGTCACCTTCATTGACTTTAGGGAGTTTTGATAACCTTTATCAGATTCAGACACAACAACAAGATCATCATCATTCTCATGTTGGTCATCCACTCCAACCACAGCTTTTGCTTCAGCCACAAGGGCAACAGCAGCAACAGGCACAGCAAAATCAACAGCTACATCCACAGCAAAGTTCAGGAAGCGAGGAGGGTAGGAGTATTGGTCCTTCTTGTTGAATAAAAAATGAAATCTCTTTTTTTCTTGTTCTGTTTGCAGATGGGGTGCCTGCTTTCCCGCATTTTCATTAAAGCAAATTTTCATTCTAGGTAAAGTGTTTAATTTTTTTTCTTGTTTATTAACTTATGGTATATGCCTGTCCGTGAAGGTCTGATAGTTTTGTGTGCAATGTATGTTGGGTTTTTTCATAAATGGGGAAATATCACTTGGTACCGGTGGAAAGCTAGAATTACTCTTTTAATTGTAGAAGGCAGAAGGGTGGGTAAGAGAATTATTGTCTTCTGGCAGTTGGGGGATATTCCATTCATCAGCTATAAGTGGCATCGATGAGACCTAGCTGCCTTAAATTGACTTGAGAATCTACATTTTATTTTCTTCTTCCTAATCTGCTTCCTTCTTTCTACTCCTTTTTGATGAAAGCAACTTTTCTGGGAAAATTTTTACCACGAAAATGAAATGCATGAACAGTTATCGGTTTGCTTTTTGGCTTGATTCGCTTGTTTTGAACAAAAATAAATTATACGTTACGGCACTAGATTTTGCAGTAAGCATGAGACAAAAAGGAGATAGAGTGTGGGTTTTGTGGGAATTTGGTGTGGCAGATCAAATCCATGATCTTGACCTGTCTTCTGAGATTTGCTTCACAGCCTCTTTGAAAGACAGCAGTGCCCTTATTAGATAGTTTCCTTTTACCTAATAAAAGACACTAATTTTCAAGTTCTTTTATGAAAAAAAAATGATACGGGTACCTATTTTACTCTTTTTATTTTGACTGGAAATAGGTTAGTGCTTCTTCCTTGTAATGATGTAGAAGTAGTAGTGTTTTTGAAAGAAGTGCATTGACATTGGATGAGATGAAGTTTCCTGTCAGCTTCTGCAGCATCTCTCCTTCTGGGATATATATATATATATATATATATATAGATATATATATTGTTTTGGCTTTTGTTTGTGATCTAAGTCAACTACTCATAAAATTACAAGGCTTTTAAGCATTTCCTCATGACTCGTTCTTGTTTTGGTTTTTCATGTTTCATCTTTTTTGCAGCTGATATCTTTCGCATACAACAAGTGAACAACAAAGAAAGAAAGAAATAGGAGTGAGTTTACCTCAGATATCTAAAGTCAGCATTGGAATTTTGGGTTTTGATATAGAGCTCCTTGCATTGGAACATAACATTAAAAAAATTGGTGGGATCTACTTTGGTCTTTAGGAGTAAACTTTTCGTCTTTTGGTTTAGTAGAGAAGTTGATATGAGAAATCGTTTCTCTAAATTTTTTGTTTCACTTTGAATTCACTACTCAATACTGCAGTTATCAGCTTAGAATACATATAGCCATTCTTCATGTGAATGTTGTTGCAGAAACCATAAAGCTATGCTTCAATTTTACATTTTGGATTAACTGCAACATCTTTTTCATATTTGAAGCTCATGGAGTTTTAATATGCACATGACGAGATAAAACCTTTTTTTTCATATTTTTAGTCGAACTAAAATCTAAAAGTTGAGAATCCCAATCTTAACTAATTAATTATTCAATTAAGACAGTAATAACAATTTTTTACCTCGAAGAGAAGGTCATTACTTGAAGTAGAAAATCAAGGAGAGAACTACAATCATATATTTACATGCAGTCAATAAATTTGGGCTAAGATGATGGCATGAAAGATAAAGGGGAGAAGGGTATCTAACCTAAAATAAAAAATGGGTTTGCTGTTATGATCAGACTTCAGAATGGAGACAGAAAGGAAGAAAATGTATTAATTATCCTACTTTTTAATTTACTCGCCATAGAATAATTGAAGATTTGTCAACTTAGAAACAAGTGAGCAATGCATTTATATTTTTATAGTAGTGTTTATTAATTTTCCTTCTGAAAAATGTTTTGAGGATAAAAAAATACCAGTATTTCTTTTTCAAGAAAAATTACTCTTTTATGCAAAAATGTAAAGAACAAATTTTCATGTTTCCCGAATGCATTAATAGAAACATAAATTCTGAACATTAAAAATATTATTGGCCAAAAAAAAAAGGACATTGCATATGTAAATCGTGAATACAAAATTTTCGATAGCTGCCATTTTGCAGTGTAAAAATTTATGCTTCTCCGCTCACAATGAGTTATTGGCCCATAACTGACAGCACCCATCAGAAATTTGAACCAAAACGATGATTTCGCCTCCAACTTGTCTGGCAAGTGGCAAGCAAAACCATACAGCTAGATAAGTATTTTAACTGCAACAAAAATTCTCTTTCTGAGATAATTATGAGCGAGGAAATTAACTGACCAGAGACGCCAGGAAAGGACGACATAAAACAGAAAATGCACGTGACCTCTCATCCGCTATGAACTTAATCTGAATCGGATGAGATTTCAGAATGAGGCTTGACTGTCTTCACCATTTTAGACAACGTCTCACCAATATCTTCCACTTCATCCTTTCCAAATCCCCAAGTTCTTAGCAACTCTGTCCCTGGAGATCCTCGCTCAATACCAAATTTACGAAGATTGCCCAATCTGTTCTCCAGAAATGGCAAGATAGCACAGCTAGAACGCAGTCTAGCAGCCATGGGGATAGAGTGAACATCTAGTGAACCTCTAGATATAGAACCTAGAATTGGACTTCCCAGCAGCTCACCTTGCTGGCCAACAAGATTACCAAAGATTGAAGGGAATGGCAAGGGAATTGGGAGAGGGCAACGAGCCACTGAAAGATGGCAGAACATTGGCCTTGTGATTGCACGTTCATATGCACCATGGATTGCTTTCTTAACTTCAGAAACTGAAGCCCGATGACCTTCTGCAGCAATACAAATAATCTCAATTACCAGGGTTGCCCATGCCACTTTCAGAGTGAGAAAGTTAAGATAAAAATCAAATATTTTCTTACACTGCTACCTATCTATCTACTTTTAAAACTTCCTCATGGACATAAACCTCACCATCAATGGATGCTTTTAATTTATCATCCAGACCAAGAAACAATTCATCCTTAAAAATCCTACCCTCCCAAGGTATTGAAAGAATGTATATCTTCCAGCTTCTACAAGGTTGCCTTAGTGACAATGTAAGCCAATTTGAGTTGTGAAACATTTAATGAGCTTGTATATTACAACATTCATAAATAAAGTGCCTAATGCAGCAGCATATAAACAATTTTTCTGAGCAAATTCAGGAGACCAAACTTTAATAAGAATAATTTACAATAAAATATCTTTTAACTGAAAATATGGACAGATCCTAAATGGTACCTGACCAAATTGCTCCATGCACAGTCATTGATTCTACAGCCTGCAAATCATCCACATCCTCAGCAACCTCTGGAGTCAATGGTTGCAAATTCCCAAGCAAGGATTGCTCGTCCTGTCTCCCTGGATTTCATAATTAGGAACAATCAACTAGAGACTTCACTTTTTCCCAACAATAACTAACTAATTTTTTATTAATAAGGAGCATGAAGTGAAAAACCATTCATATCATGTGTTGAGGGGGAAAGGCATTCACATTATACCTGTCAAACTGGGGCATGGCATTGCAACATCCAGAATGGCCACCATATTCTGCCTAGATTGTCCTGCTAGCATTTGTACAATGCCATTAACATCCACAGCACCAGATGCATCAGATGAATCTGCAGTGGGACCAAGTGGCTCCATGCAGAATGGGAGACTTGTAGAGTGTAGTGCCGCAGCACACACAGCACTGCAATGGTAAGGGTTCTCATCTTCAATGTTGAGGAAAGTTGAAGCTTTACCTTCAAAATTAGGTAAGCAGAATCTTTAGTCCATATAAGGGTCAGGATAATTTTCTTCAAGAGTATCAAAATAAATAACAATTATTAATGACCTTCAAATTTTGAGTGAAAATGACCAAGCTGACCATCATAAGATATCTTATAGACTCAGGAAGGAAAATGTGTGCACATATGTACTAAAAGATCCTTGTTAATATTAAAAGGATCAAGATTACAAAGGACATCCAACTTGAAACCATGTAAGAGTCTATGAAACAAATACAATAATGAAATGGAGGACAGCCAAAATTATCAAAATGTTAGTTTGACTTACTCCTACTCAAGAAGGGTAAACCAACCGGCACAATCATTTTACAAAAGGATGATAATCTTGAGAATGATACTGCATCATGAAGATCTCTGATAACTGTCTGCTTCCTGCTTCTTGGGTTCATATGAGTACCAGGACCCCTAACAGCATATAGCAACACTGGAGTGTTTGTGTATTCATCAGCAATACATTCCAGAAAATCGGAAGCTACAGGAGAGAAACCCCCTGAGTCTTCAACAATGAATTGAAAACCCTGTCAACATTGCCAATGATTGCAAAACAAATTAAACAAGCAACATTATGAAATCAGAGTACAAATGATTTCAGCATCAAATGATGTGTAAGAGGGGCTCCAGCTTAACATCGAATCGGAATGAAGAGCTTTCCATACCAAATAACCCTAGGCATCATTAAGTTAAAAACTCTACAAAAATTCATTAAGCAAGACCCTCAACAACCATATAAAGTTGACAATGATAAGCCTTAAATGTTATCAAATAAAAATAGGCTTTCTCTTTTTGTTTTTTACTTACAAATTTTGGTACCGCAAAGAAATTTCTGTAAAGGATCATAATGTATAGGTCAAAGTTTAACCTGGATACGATCACACTCTTCTACAAAGAAACGAAGCCTGTTACATATTTCTTCTCCTCGTAAATTCTCAGTGAAGACATCCCTCCCAATTCCATAATTGTCAAATGCTTGAGCATCCAGCCACAATCCATTCACTTCGTACAAACTCTGAGGATGATAATGAACTTTTGAGAAGTCTGTCCAAAATTGGACTCCCTTATCTAAACAATTGACTATATCTGCATCCTGAATTTCATTTTGAGAATCCTTTGTCCCACCATTGATACCATCGATCAAAGGAACATTCTGCTCTTCCTGATACAAACTTTGCAAGAACAAATTCTTCTTCTGAGGTTCAGATTCATGAGTGGAAATATTTCCTGCCCTGTATATTCTTTTAAAGATGTTCAATTTAGTGCATGTAGAAATCTTATGCACTCAAAACTCAGAGAAGGACAAAGCACACAGCCCAGCAATTTAGAAGACTGATAACTATGAACTGTATGTAATTCATTACAAGCATGTGATATAAAGTGATGGATGGAGCGATATAAAGTGCTAAGCAATAAACAGGAATCTATTGTGCACTTATTACGATATATTTTTAAGAGTTCTAAAACATAACCATGAGCATTTCTCATTAGTAGTGAGTAACAGAAATTAGAAGCCAAAGTTGCCTTTATATTTAAAACAGAATACTACTTATGTTACTAACTAATTAGGCTGAAACAACATTATGTTAACTACATTGCAAGGAAAGCATTCTTGTTGGAGAAAAACAGAAAGAACAAGAATCATCAGTAAAGAGATCAGCTTGAGTCGGATATTGAACTCCGACACTCAACCATCTAAATGCCACTCAAAAAGGCAAAAGCAACAAACTTTTTATAAAGCTCCTTCTTTACATTTTTATTTTTGAAGGGATAATACTTGAAGACTAACTGCAAACAGAAGAAAAGATACACCAGAAATACTAATGCACTTAGTTAAGATGAAAAATCTCACCATGTAACAACTTCAGATGGTGCACTAGAACCCTCGTTATACAATGTACCCTGCAAACTCATCGATCCGAAGGATCCTGCAATGTATAAAAGTTTCCATGAGTAGAATATATATATATATATATATGTATTTATATATCTATAAGTATTAATATATATATATGTATATACTTATAGATATATAAATACATATATATATGTATATATATATATATATATATATATATAAGTAGAATTAATCTTACTAAGTGAACATTTGGTGATGATCCCCAGTGCAGTGGGGAGTCATTTGCCCTGCACTAGAGCCCAGGTTGGGGGCAAAACACTATTGGCACTTCAAGTGTCAGTGCCGTTTTGGTGCTCACCGGGGCTCCAATGTGGGGCGAATGGAATCTCCACCGCACTGGAGGCTTTGTCGAACTAGCATTACTTAACAATGTAGATTTGACACATAACACATCAACTTTGCAACTAAAATTTAAGCACCTTGAAAGTCAATCGAGAGAAGACGAGGAGTATAAGTAAGAGTCCCCTGCACATGTACAGCAACATAAACAATTTAATCTCCACAAAAACTGCACAATCAACGATGACATTCTGATTCTAAATAAACCTTCTAAAACTAAATCAGTGAAAGTCTTGTGATAATTAAACAATAGTCAAAGGTAAAACATTCACGGGATAAATATATATAAATATATATATATATATATATATGTTTTAGGTTTTAAGGCAATAACAATATCAGAAACAATTGGTCAAAGTTGCACCTGTGGCGTTTCACCTGTACGGTAGAGAACATCCATGTTTAGACTCTGGGTTTTGAAGAGCGGATCGCCGTAAGGATCCGCGGCTAAGCCAAGCATTTCATCCTTCATTTTTAAGCATAAAAAATTTCAATTTAACAAGCTTAAAAAGAAATATAATCAAAATAAAAACAAATGGGAAAAAAATAGAAACTAAGCAGAGATTAACTGAACCTGGAAGTTCCAGAAGTGAGAACCGATGAAGTTTGCGAAACCTCCGACTTGGATAGTTACAATTTCTCTCATGATTATTTACCTGAAAAATGTAATATTTAAGTCGAATAATAACGTTAATTAAACGTATTTAATCTTTAATTTGATAGAAAATCTTAGTATTTTCTGAGATTAATAAATTGAATTAGGAAAAAAAAAAAGAGGATTTTTACAGAGAGCTAGGGTTAGCAGGATTGGAGAGCGAAACGAGCCCGCAGAACGTTTCAAAGGAAGGTGAACGGAAGCGAACAGAAAAGCGGTGCGTTTTGAGATTCTAGGGATTTCTTATTTTGGCGGCGTATTTTTTTATTTAAAATAGTTTTATGATTTTCAATTTTCCCAACAGAAAAAACGGCGTAGTTTTTGTGAAGAAAACAGAAAAAGGGAATGGGTTGAAGGTCCCGTAGGCTCTCATTCACTGTAACATCTTTGGGTAGTCCAAAACCCAAATCCAATTTAAAAGGAAATTTTTTTATTCGTGAATTGTAGTTCCTAATATTTTATTTATTTTTATGGAATATTGTTACGTTTTTAATTTGAAATAAATGATATTAGTTATTATTTAGGTAAATAAATCAATAAAATAATGGTAAAAATTATTTTTGAAAAATCCTCCAATGATAAAAAGTTTTACAGTGATGAGGACAATCTTAATACCACCAATAGTGCCCACCAAATAAATAAACATAAGAAATAAGTTTTGATATTTTCATTTTTCAGTAAAAAAATAATGTGTGACATTTTTTTTTTAAATTGTTAACCTATTATTAAATCTTTTTATTTGATTGAAAAAAAAAATTAGCATAAATTTCTTTAAAATTTATAATATTCAAATATCAATTTCAGTAATATATCAATTAATATAAAAAATAATAATATATAATATATATTAAATTATAAAGAAATACAGTAGAAAGATTCCACTAAAATGCTCACTTATTTTAGGCTACTAAATTTTCAAACCAAAATCTTCACGTGGGCTCACCATATCCCTCTGTCCAATTTCAATAACTTTGTCGTTCTTTTGCGCTGGAAGTGACTACTTTTGTCAAGCTTCAGTTTTGCACATTGGTCTGGCAGTGAGAATGGTTTTTTACTACAATTTGGTAAATGTGTAAATGGATAATCTAAACAATGTAAATCACTTCAGATTTGTTACCATAACTTAAATTTTTTATAATTGAAAGTAGACATTAAAAAAAATGAAAATAATACAATTAAAAATTTTGATAAAAATCATATATAAATTTAATAAAAAAAAAAAAGTTTCGAGTCAAGATTTGTTGAATGATTTTTTATTTCTAATAATAGGTAATTATAGCAAAAAAAAATAAAGGACAAGATGCTTATAACAAATAATCGGTTACACAAAAACGACAAGAAAACTAAAAACTGGTTCTTGATATGATAATGGTAAGAATGCAAAGAACATATGCAGATGCAAAGCTCATGGCAATTAAATGGTCTAAATTTATTGGTGTTGAAAGGACTAAATTGGCTAATACTAAAAGTTTAACTTTAACAAAGAGAAATTGGAGTAGCTTTGCTAAAAGTTGGAGGGATGATAAGTTTGGAATTGGTTTGCAATGAAGGATTTGAAAGATTGATGTTTGAGAAGGTAATTGAAATCAGAAACCACTAGCTTTTGCTTTATGCTGAGCACAGACAGTTGGAGTAGTGCATGCCACTCTTTTCACTATCTGATATCTGATTGCTTCTTGGTGAGGAAGTAGGAAAGAGCTAAAAATATCAAGACAAACACCTAACCAAAAGCAGATGAATAGAAGATTTGTACATAAATATCATAGAACATGAAAATTTTATGGGTGGCTGCGTTGGTCACTGTTAGTGCAGAAGAGTCATGAAGTGAAATCCCACTGAGACCAAAACCTACCATTAATTTCAGTCGGTTCAACGTTAAATCTCACATTCTCGGGAGAAACGAATTATGTTTTCCGCAATTGAGAATATTAAGAGCGGAAAGAATGATTGCAAATACAGAGCACAGGCTATTTACTCGCCTGGTTTTCCTGCAGAGTTTTTCAGAATGTTGGATGTAAGATGAGGTCATCACTAATCTTCCCATTGGAGTAAACCCAAATACGTTATCCCCACAAAGGCTAATTCATAATGAAACATAAAAGGAATGGTAGCAACCAGGCAAATCAAATATCAAATATCAGAGTTAACTATCTAGAAATTTGTCATTTTGCTTCCAACAATCCATCATTAGAATTACACAAGCTCATACTATATCAAAGCAGGAGTTTGATATATGGAGATGAACTAAACCAGTCCATGATATCTGCAAAATATTTTTGAAATCTACCCAAGGTAGTGCCTCAAACAGGATATCAATTTCAAATTCCTCTAGTTGTTGACTAAGTTATTCTCACTAAGTCACTATGATTATAATCCGTTTCCCCATGTTTCTGCAAAATTCATGGGGATAAGTTATCTGACTATACATCAATCTCTCCTGGCTTGTGAACCCCACTTCTCCAACTATGGCCATCTGATTTTTCATCTTCTTCTGCGTCCATACTGTCACCTCCAGTACTTGACATACCTTTAGCAGAAGCACTCGCAAGGAGGGGACCTTGTGGAGAACCAGACTGTGAATTGTTTTCTTTCATGCGTTCACCGCACTGATTTTGAGCTGGCCATAGGCCGTTTCCTTGCTCAGCTGAAGAGGCTGGAAGTTTTCGGATATGAATTCTGTATTTCTGCACATAAACCAAAGTTCACACACAAAATCAGTGACCAGAAAGGAGATAAGAGGATAACATGAGAAGATTTCACATGCTAAAGGCTAACCTGCAAATGGCTTTTCACTTCATCATTGGTGAGACCATCAACTTGCATCAGTTCTCTAATCTGTTTAGGAGTGGCCACTGTGAAAGAGAATAAATCAATCAGATTTATTCCACAATTAAAGATAAAACTTAGATACAAAAAGAACTCGATCGGAACATTTCAAAAAGAACTTGATTCAGGTATTTCCTAAAAGAACCAGATTCCAATCTTTTGGTCATAAAAAAAGACATAATTCTATGAAATTGAGAACGAACACAAGCTGCCGATAAGAGGTTCTTTGAATTCAACTGGACAAAATAAATAAATAAATCCATCAATCTGATAACCTCTAGTTCCAAAGGCCTAACCTTGTGAACCTCCAAGCTGTTGAAGCGCCTCAATAAATCGTTTATGAAGCTCAGGTGACCAGCACCGCCTTTGTTTCCTGGAATTCTGCTGCTGCTGTTGTAATTTGGTCTGAAACTTAATTTGTTTTTGTTCTGCATACAAGGAAGAGCCAGAACCACTTTTACAGCTGCCATTGCTCTTCAAGATTGGATTACAAGAAGCCAATTCAGAACTAGGGGTCATAAGAGAAAGCCCTGAAATTTCCTTATCAACTTGTCCCTTAAATGGCACAAAAGCCCCTCTCCTGCTTTTATTATTACAAAGTTCAATTGGGTTCTCAGACAGATCTTCTTCTTCACTTCTCTGTCAAATTCAAACCCCAAAAAGACTCATATTACTTTTTTTTTTTCCAAAAATTAAGATTAAAGAAAACCTAGTTAGTTTCGGAATTACCAGTTTCAGTTCTGGAACTCTGTTTGGTTTCTTGTTATGATCAACGTTGTTGAAATTTGAGTTCCAGAGTTGGACAGAACTCATCCAGTTTTTCTTGTCACCGCCATCATTTTCCATATTTACCCTTCCATTTTCCTCAGCATTTTTCTTCAATGGCAACATCAACTCTTCTGTCACTGATCCATCATCCATTTCCATACACTGCATTTCTTCCTCCTTCAATCTCTCAATCCCTACAACCCCATAAAAAATCAAATTAAATCCCACAAAAAGGAAAAAAAAGTCATAATTAAAAATTAAAAAACAATAAAATAAAAAAAATACCATCTTTCAAGAGAAGCATGCAAAGAGGAAGTTCACGTTTAAAGGCATCAATTTTCCTCATCTCGTCTTCCAATCTTCTAACATAATCACTGATCTTTGATAATCTTTGAAGCCCATTTTTTATCTTTGAAACTTCTTTCAGAAACTCTGATATGCTTTTTGGTACATAAACCAAACACAAATCCAAGCTCAACTCCATTACTTTTCTAATTTTCTTCGATATTCCCCTTTTTTTCTTTTTCTAACATTGCCCAGACCCAGATAAACATGACACGGAACAGCCAGCCATGTTTATATAGACGTGTAAGAGAGATTCAAGATTCGCTGCGGCTTTCCAAACGGGTCGTCGCGTATTTTAAAGCTATAACTCGGTGACTCGGTGGAATAACTCAATGGTACTTATCTTTTAGGTTCCGTACAGCCCACGCGGCGAATTGTTGAAAAATGAACTTTTTATTTATTTTTTATTTTTCAACCTTTTTTCGAAATGAAATTACAGTGTCAAGATTCTTCGGTAGGTGTGGATTTGAAAAAATATATCATAAATAGTTGACACATGTTACGGCGACTCTTTGTCAAAAAGATATTAGAGGGTAATTTGGTCTTTTAATACTTATTGAGTATTTGGTCATTAAAGAAATGACAAATTTTTATATTTCGTAAGATAGGGTGTTCTTTGATTTTTCTTTTTTATACAAGGAAAAGTAAACTATTGTCAATTATGGCCTTTCATCTTGATCTTTGGTAGTATTTTTATTAGAAAAAGATCCTTGGTTTTTTTTTTTTACAATTTGATCCTTGGTAAAAATATATTTGTGAATTGAGAAAACATGCCAATTCATATCTAGATTTTTTTTTTATATAAATATATGACTAAAAAGCAT